AAATTTCTTTTCACCCCAACAGCATGGTTTCAAGGAGAGTCATTCTTGTATAACCAACCTGCTGACTGCGGTGGACAGATGGACAACCATCCTTGATCGTAAGGGGAAGGTTGACGTCATTTACCTCAACTTCTCAAAAGCATTTGATGGGATCAACCATATATGTCTTATCAATAAGCTCAAATGGTTATGTATCAAATAACCTTTGATTGATTGGCTCACTTCATTTCTCAAAAAATCGATATTTTAAGGTCAGGGTTTGCCTAACTTTCTCTCAAGCTATGGAATGTTCTAGTGGGGTCTCCCAGGGTTCAGTATTGGGACCCCTTCATTTTTCGATTTATATAAAGGATTCTTCACAACAGGTGTCGTCAGACTCATTACTTTTGCCGATGATGTGAAACTTTGGAGAGAGATACGCAACCAAGAGGATATACAGGCACTTCAGGAGGATCTGACTCGACTTTAAAGTTTGGAAGAAAACAACGGACTTGCCTTCAACACTTCAAAGTGTAAAGTAGTCTGTCTGAGACATGTTGCAGACTACAGTTACGACGTAGGAAACTCCTCGCTGGAAGTATTCCAAGTTGAAAAACATTTAGGAGTGCTGGTACCCCACTATTTAAAGCCTTACGCTGACTGTGACAAAAATGATTTTAGGGATAGCATTTTCTTTTAATTACGCTGCTTTGATTCGATCGATGTTGATGCTATCGTTGGTTCCGTTCTTATCGATTATATAGAACTTATGTTCGCGTTGAAGAATTTTGAATGGTCCTTCATCTTCTGATTCGAATGGTCGTCGATGCGAATCTCAACGTACGAAGACGTGTGTATTATATCGTAATTCGTGTTGAATGTGAAGCTTTTAGTTGTCGGTGGAAACGTTCTACCAACCCTTTTGCTTTTGGATTTTAGGCGGTCGTTGGGAAAAAAGTGATTATCAAAAGTATGGTCAGACGACGGAAAAGTTCGGATTCAAACTGACGTGCGCGGTCTGTAGTGATAGTTGAAGGGCGGCCGAAGTTTGCTACCCATCGTTCGATGAAAGAGCAGGCCAGTGTTGTCCTTGATAGGTACTGCTTCTGGCCATCGAGTGAAACGGTCTACGCAGGTTAAGAGATAAGATCATCCATTAGAATCTGGCAAAGGTCCTACCTAATCCAAATGAACATGGTCGGAACGAGCGTCGGGAGTTTTAAATGAGCCTAAGGGACATTTATTGTGTCTGATAACCTTAGATTTTTGGCGGCTTACACAGGAGCGAGCCCACTCCCTCACGTCTTTATTTATGCCAGGCCAGCAAAACCGTTCTGCTATAAGCTTGATGGATGCACAAACACCTGGATCAGAAAGTTTGTGCAACGTATTGAAGCCGTCGCGTCGATAACATTTCGGCACGATTGGGCGATCCCTACCTGTAGATGTGTCACACAGTAAAGTTTCCTTACTTGTTCTCATCTGTTTGATGCATAGCTTGAGAGTTGTAGACGATAACTCGTGCTGAAGATCAATGTCTTCTTTTTGAAGCTGGGCGAGTTTCAAAAGGTTGATTCCTTGGAAACTGTTCAAGGAAGTTGTTCGAGACAAGGCGTCTGCGACCACATTGTTTGCTCCAGAAATGTGTTGGATGTCTGAAGTAAACTGCGAAGTGTAGTCCAGTTGTCGAGACTCACGAGGTGAGTACTTGTCAGAGGAAGAGCTTAGCGAGAAGGTAAGTGGTTTATGGTCATTGAAAATTGTGAATTCACGGCCTTTGATATAGTGTCGAAGATGCCGTACAGCACAATACATAGCTAGGAGTTCCCTACCGAATGTGCTGTACCTCGATTCGGTGTCTAGTAACCGTTTAGAGAAAAATGCCAAAGGTTGCCAGGAGTTGTTAACCCATTGTTGTAAGACTCCTCCGATTGGTGTGTCGGATGCGTCTACTGCGATGCTAATGGATGCTTCAGCGTCTTGATGAGCAAGCATTGTTGCTTTAGCGAGAAGTTCCTTAATTGTGGAGAATGCTCTTTTCGCGGTGTCGTCCAAGTTGATGCATTTCGCATTTCTACGAAGTTGGTCGCAAAGAGTTTTCATAAGTAATGCGCATTTATGTGTGAAACGTCTATAGAAACTTACAAGACCGTTAGAAGTTCGTAATTGCTTCACCGTGGTCGGTTCTGAGTTTCTAAGCGATCGGATGCCTTGAGCATCGATAGTTTGTCCTAGGAAGTCTAGTGAGTCAGTTCCGATTTGGCATTTCCGAATGTTTACAGTAATAACACGTTTTTGTAGTCGGTCGAAAATAAGATCCAGATGCTTGAGATGCGATTCTCTGTCCGGACTTGCTATTAGGCAGTCGTCAACATACGCATGTACGAAGTTGCGACCTCGAGAAACGTCGTCTATGAAATTTTGGAATGTGCAGCGTTTCTTAGAACGAAAGGCATTTGCAAAAACTCATAGAGTCCAAAGGGAGTAATGATAGCTGTTTTCGGTATATCGTCTGTAGCCATAGGAATTCGGTTATACACTTTAACAAAGTCGATTTTCGAGGAGACAGTTGAACCTTTCAAGGTAGCTGTCAAATCGTGAATGTGAGGCAACGGATGACGATCGGGAATGGTTTTCGCATTCAATCGCCGATAGTCACCAGTTGGACGCCAATCATTGCCGTCTTTTTTAAAGACCATGTGCAACGGAGATGCCCATGTGTTATTTGACGGTCTTATGATACCTAAGTCTGTCATGTTGTCGAATTCGTTTTCCGCCAGCCTTAGCTTTTCGGGGGCTAGTCGTCGTGCTTTAGAGAATACAGATGGCCCTGTAGTCGTTGTGTGATGTGTAACGTTGCTGGTTACACACGGTAATTTTGGTTGAGTTTGGTGTATCCCAGGCTACTTATCAAGTGATTGTTGATAGAATTGGTCTATAGTGTGTCTAAGTGTGACTGGAGATAATCAGCAACCGGAAAATAAAGCTACGCAGATAAATTAGTGTTTCCGTCTACTAGCCTCCGTTTGCACGTATCGATAATAAGATTATGGTGTTGTAGAAGATCTATACCAATGATTGGCATAGATACATCTGCAACAACGAAAATCCAGTGAATGGGTTTACGTAAACCCACGTTAAGGTAAATGTACCTTTTGCCATCGTCAATTTGCATAATATTCATGCATCAAACCAAACTGGACTGTTTCTGTTGCAAACACCAATCCATTGTCTCCCATTCCATTGTTCATGCATTTTCTTACAAATTCCATTGTATTCTCGCTCTATCTTTCTTGATCTTCGCCATCTTCCGCTGCCAGACATAACGTTCTTTTAACGCACGTTATATACTACTTATACCAATATAAGTAGCTCACACCACACTTCTACGTGGGGTGTGTAATCGCTTACGGTCGTTACGAAAATTAGGATAACGTGTAAGTGTATGACATAACTCTGTTATGTCATTCTGGGTCGTTTGAGGCTTTTCTTTGACTGAAAAACCTTGATATTAGAAGATTTTGTGATTTCTAAAATGCGGTCGGCAGATACAGCTAGCTCGTCTAAGGTGTTGTTGTGAAACGAGACAAGCACAGCTTGAGCCTGTTGAGGAAGTTTGGACAAGAAAATTTTTTTGAATAGGCCATCATCGAAAGTTCTTTGGTCGATAACCTCTCTCATCCTGTGCAGCATGTCCGTCGCAGAACCGTGTTGCAGGTCGATGTTATTGAGAAGGTGGTCTAACATTTGTCTATCGGTTAGGTCTCCGCGTTTATGAATAGAACGTTTAAGCGTTTCGTAAGGTTCAAAAACATCACTAGTAAACATACTGGGTGTTACGTACCTGTTTAATTCGCGCGGTAGTGTCTTGACTACTCCGAGGAATTGTGTATGTGTGTCAATCACACCCTGCTTGGAGAGGTCGGCTTCTGCGTAGCGAAACCAGGCTTCGATGTTGTCTGGCAAGGTCATCAGTTGAAACGAAGGTGGGGACAAAGTCTTAAGTTTGAGTACTTTGGGTGTCTGTTCAGTCATGATGAAATATGAAGTACGAGAGTGAACGACGGAAAAAAATATATATCCAAAAAGCACGAAAAAATATCACAATGTATAAAAAATTAAGAGAAGGCAATGATGTATAGAATCCCAAAAGGGAACAGACTGTCAGTTTACGATTTGGTGTACCAGATCACGTCGGGCTCACCAATGAAGATGCCACAAGTATTCAGTGTTTGACAACGCTTTAACCAGTAACACCTTCTAATATAGATGGTGGTTGGAGGTAGTCAAAAGGAAACCCTCGACCCGGGTTTCGTGCTACTTGGCACTCGACAGCAAGGTGTACCTGTAATCTTGAGGGAATCGGTGCTCCCTGGTGGATTCCATTTCGTGTCACCCAGCTTCAATACATAGTGCCCGTAGTGTCGAGTCACCTAGACTGGTGGCCACATTGCAACATGATCGATAGCATTCGATCTGCAATAATAAGGACCAGACAAGCATGACGTTGATCAACACCCAGTGATCAATCAGTTGTGACCTTCTAATATAACTCGTACCCATCAAGAGAAATCAGAAGACAGAAGCCAGGAGATCGGAAGATATATTTGATATGCTATCAATATATCGAGAATCGTCTGATTTAATCTGGTCAGCGATTGCAGAGGTTGTTGAGCACGGCGTTCCGACTAGTGATCTGGTGCGGATGCATGACCGAGCGCCTCTAGCCAGGTGAGTCCATTAAAACATGTGGTCAGCACCCAATGTAGAAAACTTACAGAGCTATTTATTTTGGGGATTTATTTACCACTACAATTCCTTTAAGAGGTAACCTGACCTATTTTTAAGGATTGATGATGATACTTTACTATGATTTACCGATTTCTTTTCCTCTTTTATCGTTAATATACGTAGATTCCTACTTGGAGGTATTGGTGATCCACTACTACTAGACACGGAAGCCCGTTAAGCGTAAGCTTATATTCCGTTCAAAACCATTTGAACCATTGGAACCACTTAATGACCTTCCTATATTCTCAAGGTTCAGGTTACGATGTAATTGTTGTTTGGGCTCATACTGAACTGTAGGTGGTGATCCGGAATAAGAAGGTTAGCTTAAGTATTTTTTAAAGTGGCAATTCTTTCGTACCACTCAGTATTCATCCACCTCAACGTTATTCAAATAAAAACATTTTTAAACTACAGTTTTCAAGAGGCAAGAGTCCCCTTGAGAGACTCACAGCTGATAGCAAGCGAAGTACACTATTTGGATTGATCGTTGTGACTGAAATTTCTTCAGGATTTGCAAGTTTTCTGCAGTGTTCTTGAAGAGCTCTTGTACTGGCAGTAATTAGTTGGGACTTTAGCTTTAAGGCAAGGGTAGTATGGGTCCTTTAAGAGGCAACTTGACCTATTCTTAAGGACGAAGGATAATATCTTACTATGATTTGCCAATTTATTTTTCCTCTTTTATCGTTAACGTGCCTATGTTTCTATCTGGAGGTATTAGTGATCCACTGCTACTAGACACGAAAGCCCGTTAAGTGAAAGCTTCTTCTGTTCCACAACCATTTGGACCATGTGATTAATACGTACTTGTGTTTGGTTTATGTGTGTATTGTGTCGGTCAGTCTTTAGTAATAAGGATAGTAGGTTGTTGAGCATGTGTTAATCCTGACAGATTGCCTTCCAGTGAATGTCCAGCTTCTCCCTGAAAATATTCACTGATGGGGCTGATACCACTTGTTCGGGTAAGGCATTCCAGTCATTGACTACTCGATGAGAAAAATGTGACCACACCTTAGGTTTATTAGATCGCAGTTTTTGAACCTTGTTATGACCTCGGATATTATTAGTGATGGAGGGAGCAAAAAGGTAAGACATATTAACACCCAAATCATAATTAGAGATACGAATGCCAGTATAAGGTCACCTCGAGTCATCGAGGCGTTTTAAGCGCTCATCGCGAGGGATTTTAGAAAGACCCTTCTCTAATTTCGTTCCCACACGCTGAACACGCTCAAGGGCAAGCTGCTTATATACAGTACTTTAAGTATGGTCTTACATAGGTGGGATATAAAATTCGAAACATTTCCTCGTCAAAGCATTTAAATGCACAGCAAAGTGACCATAAGGTACGAAAACCTTTGAGGGCAGCTGCGTTGCAATGCGTAGTTGTTTTCAAGTCATGACTTATTATTAATCCTAAGTTTATGTTCTTAAACATGTGGAAGAAATATACCATCAATAGTATAGTGGTAGCTATTACCGTGTCCTATGTGCATGAGCACACTTCTTAGAATTAACTTCTAAACCCCAGCCTCGAGCCCATCTAACTAATTCGTCTAAGTGAACTTGGAGATCAAAATGATCAGCCTCACTTCTTATTGTTCTCCAGATTTTGACATCATCCACAAACAATAATGTCGACGACTTAAGTTACAGCGGTAATTCGTTAACGTAGATAAGGAAAAGTAGAGGGCCTAAGATGGTGTCTTGGGGTGCACCACTTTTGACTGGCTTCCATTCGGATAGCGTTCCATTGACCCTCACTCTCTGTCTGCGGTCACATACGAGATTCCTCATCCATTCCTGTATAGCACCTGTTATTCCGAAGCTCGAGAGCTCCTGTATAAGACCCGGGTGTGAAATCTTGTCAAATGCTTTGCTAAAATCTATGGATATCACATCGACAGACAGACCGTTATCTAGAGCTGCTGTCCAATCCTCTCTCGCGATAAGTTAGTCAAGCATGAACGCTTGTTACAAAACCCATGTTGCTCGGGAGTTAGCATGTTGTGCGAATTTATGTGACCTAGTAACTAAACCCGAATTATCTTTTCAAGTAACTTAACGACTATTCTGGCCAAACTGACAGGCCAATGCTAGATGCGATCTGTCTCTGACCATCCTTAAATACAGGACTGATTATAGCGTCTTCTCAGTCTCTAAGGGGTTCAGCTAGTAAAGGGGACATTGAAGAGCGTCGCTTGTGGTCTTAAAATAATGTCCGCAAGAGATGACAGCAGTCGCCCCCAAATGCCCTGGTATGGCCGAGAGCGGGGTGGGTTCGCCCCCCTCTCGAAATACTCTCACACGGCCACGCGTATACACCCTCTGCCGAGGAGGTCCCACTCACTGCCTTCTCGTGGCGGGGGTGTCGTTTACGAGAATGAGAAGACGAAAAGCGAATGTCCGGTGCTTTAACCGGATCCCAAACCAAATCATTGGTGAACATGGGCTCCAGTATCCTGCGGGAACAAATGGCGTATGAACCAATCTTGGTCACCGGCTACCATAGGACTGCATCTCCTTACTATGCTCCACTGACCTGTGGGTCAGACCTTTAGGTCAAAGGCTCGGGGTGTGGCCCCCTAAGATAACCACCTGCTTCGGTCTGGGCACCCAGGCAGTATCACAACCCACACACAAATGATGAACTGTCTATGCTTATGGACACTACTTTTCTTGCTTCGACTAACAATCAAATGATTCAAATTATTATTATTATCATTATCATCATTAATATTATTATTATTTACTACGTCATTATTCACCCTCTTCTATTCCTACTCTGTCTATGCTTATTTTTTCGACTTATACAGCAGCTCGTCTATGGTGGAAATTCGACTCTATCTAAACGTTCTCGAGTCACTGTCCGGTTGAAAATTGTATGTTACCACCGAATATGAGCACTGAAGCAGTTTTTCTGAAACCACGTGCACCATTCAAACTGGCTGCCTTCAACGTTCTCACACTTATGCAGGTTGGACAACAGATAGGGCTGGCTATGTCTTTAGAAAGTCTTAATATTGACGTTTGCTGTCTATCCGAGACCCGTATTCAAGACTCTGGTGAAGTACCACAAATCCGCTCTCCATCTGTTGCTTCAGAAGGCTTATTTTACGTGCGTCTATCCGAGGACCCTGTGGCATCTTCGTCTGGTCTTGCTGGCTTTGGTGTCGCGCTAGAGCTGAGGCAGCACTAATCGATTGGATCCCCATTAACAGTCGGTTATGTGCTGTTAGATTAGAAAGTTCCATCAAAGTGAGAAGAAATCGGCGTGAGAAACGACGTCTTTTCGTCATCTCCGCCTATGCCCCGACAGATTGCATCCCGGATGCAATCAAGGATGAGTTTTATCACCATTTATCTGTTCTCCAGAAAGTGCGTTCGACAGATATTGTAGTACTAGCCGGAGACTTGAATGCTCAGGTCGGGCGTCTAGGCACAGAAGAGAGTCGTTTAGGTGGCCGACGGGGGCTTGTTGGTCGTAGGACAGATAACGGGGACCGTCTACTACAACTGCACAGACCACAACCTGTTTCTGGCTAGCACAAACTTTCAGCACAGTCATCGCCGATGTGCCATCTGGCGTCCTCTCTCTTCATCTCAAGCCTGGACTCAAATCTTTAAAAAGGGTTCACGTTCCTGTAATAACTATCGGGGGATAAGTCTACTTCCGATTGCATCCAAGCTATTGGTTTCCGTCATACTTCGTAGGTTGTTCAAAACCCGAGAAAGATTGACTCGCGAGGAGCAGGATCGGTTTCGTTTTGGTCGAGGATGTATTGATCATATCTTCACCCTCCGCCAAATGTTAGAACACCGTCATACTTATCAAAGTCCAACAATCGTAGTGTTTCTTGACATCAGGGCTGCCTTCAATTCGTTAGACAGGACTGTTTTATGGGATTGTCTATTGAAGAAGGGTGTGCCTGAGACGTCCTAAAAGCCCTATACACAAACACCTCAGGCAGAGTGAGGGCATACAACCACCTCTCTCCACTGTTACATTCAAGCAGTCGGGTTAGGCAGGGTTGCCCAATCTCACCATTCCTCTTCAACTTTGCCATCGATGACATTCTGGAAACAGCTCTGATGGATGTAAATAATGGCGGTGTGGATCTGTTGCCTGGAGAAAGATTTCTCGACCTTGAGTATACGGACGATGTTGTCTTACTGTGCGATAATGCCCAAGGCATGCAATCCGCACTTATTCAGTTGGCAATCAGTGTCCGCAGGTATGGTATGTGCTTTGCACCTTCGAAGTGCAAAGTACTTCTACCAGACTGGCAGGATTCTAATCCTGTACTCACTCTGGATGGTGAGCAGATAGAAGCAGTCGAGAAGTTCGTGTATCTGGGTAGGTGCATAAGCGCTGGTGGTGGCGTGAGTGATGAGATCAATGCACGTATAGTGAAAGTCAGAGCGGCTTATGCCAATCTGGGCCATCCTTGGCGCCTTCGTGATATCAGTCTGGCAGTAAAAGATCAGATCTACAACGCGTCGGTGAGATCAGTTTTGCTCTATGCTTGTGAAACCTGGCCTCTCCGAGTTGAGGACGTTAGACGACTCTCTGTGTTCGATCATCACTGTCTCCGAAAGGTTGCTTACATCCAGTGGCAACACCATGTCAGTAGTAATGCAGAGGTTCGGCATCGTGTGTTCGGGCACAGAAACGATAATTCAATTGGTGTCACCATCTTGAAACATCGACTTCGGTGGCTTGGACATGTTCTACGAATGCCGTCTCAGAGAATTCCACGTCGTGCATTATTTGCCGACTCTGGGACTGGTTGGAAAAAGCGGAGAGGTGGTCAGTGTATGACATGGTGTCGTGACATGAAAGAAAGCTGCAAAAGACTGGCTTGTGTTGGTCCTTCACGACACCCTGGTTGGGGTCTGAGAGATGGTGCAACACAGTGGCTAGAGACGTTATCAGACATGGCTCAGAATAGAAGCCAGTGGCGATCCTGCCGTAATCTTCTTTAACTTTCTTCATAAAAAGTGTTTGTGTCTTCCTTAACTGAAAGAAGTCTTCTGATTGTACCTTTCCGTTTCCCCCATTATTATTATTATTATTATTATTATTATTATTATTATTATTATTATTATTATTATTATTATTATTATTATTATTATTATTACACTGCCTTACACTAACATGGTCGTCATTATTCTTTTTTTCTTTTACGCTCCTTACCTTCTTTTTTTTCTCTTCCCATTCTTATTGTCCTGTGTGGCGTATATATATATATATACATTCCAAGTAAAGACTGGGGTCGTACAAGGGTATCTACTCTCCTCCTTCCTCTTTCTTCTGGTGGTCGACTTGATTATGATGACTTCAACATCTGAGGGAAAACACAGCATACAATTGACAGCTCAGAATCAATTAGACGATTTGGACTTCGCAAATGACCAAGCCCTCCTATCGCATACACACGAACAAATACGGATAAAGACAGCCAGTGTAGCAGCAGTCTCTGCATCGGTAAGCCTCAACATACACAAGGGGAAAACCAAGGTCCTCAAACACAACACGGAGAACAGCAATCCAATCACACTTGATGGCGAAACTCTAGAATATGTAGAACCCTTCACATACCTGGGAAGCATCATCGATGAATAAGGAGGTCCAGATGCAGACGTAAAGACAAGGATTGGCAGAGTAAAGACAGTATCCCTACAGTTGAACAACACACGCAACTCCAAACAATCGTCTCTCAACCAACATCAAAGTCACAATCTTCAATGCGAACGTCAAGACAGTTCTATTGTACGGAGCTGAAACTTCGAGAACTACCACAACCATCATCAAAATGTACTACTATTTGTAAACAAATGTCTTCTCAAGATACCCAATATTCGTTGACCGGATCCATCAGCAACAGCCTTCTGTGGGAGAGGAAAAAGCAGCTTCCAACTGAAGAGGTAATTAGGAAAAGACGATGGAAATGGATAGGACATACATTACGCAAATCATCAAACTGCATCACGAGGCAAGTCCTAACTTGGAATCCTGAAGGAAAGTGAAAAATAGGAAGGCCAAAAAACACATAACGTCGGGAAAAAGAAGCATATATGAAAAGGATGAATAACAACTGGAAAGGATTGCTCAGGACAAGTTTGGGTGGAGAATGCTGGTGGGTGGCTTATGCTCTTCGACGAAGGGTAACAGGCGTAATTATGTAAGTAGGTTGTGAATCTCCATCGAGTGAGATGGTTGGTGTTACATATGTCGAACCATCGACTGTGACGGTGGGCAACGATGATTAGTATTGTAGACAGATGGAAATAGGTTAGGGGTGACTAAACCAAGTCACTGACTTCTGTTCTGAGCCATGTTGATGGGTGTGGACTACTTTGATGGGGGCAACGTGGCTATCATAATTAGTCGTTGGAGACTGAGTAACATGACTCAGAATCGATAACAATCGGTTAGGTTTATGCACTCTTTGTTTTCCCTTAAACCATGATATTAAAATTACTTTATACCTTTCTACGAACTAATTTTTTCTCGCTGTATCATGTCCTGATATGCAATCTTTTTCTTATACGTTGCTACCACTGGATTAACTGCTTCTATGAATTCAGTGTTCATCTTTGTGTGCTAATGAGTTATGACAACTCGAATAGATGCACATATGTCGTGGTCTTACGTTGTAGATGAATAACTGACTGTGTGCTAGGCTCAAAGAGAATTGTATGCTATATGCATGCACTTCATCCCGTTATTATTCCTATTATTATCCCAGAATTTTTGTTGATTAGTATGTTGCCTTGTTTCGATAATGGGAATATGAACATTTTGATTTTAGCGTACCCGTTCACATAGTCATTGTCGTGGTCATTAGTGTGTGTAACGCTATTAATTATGCATCTCTGTTTAGGTAAGTTTTTTATTTAGTTAATTATTATTTGTTCAACAGATGGAGACGAAAACGAAGGCAGAACTCCACTACTTTCTGATCAGTCAAGGACTGTACAACTTATTTCAGCGCATCATAGTCGCAGACCACGAAATTCTCCACCTTCAGATGATTTTCAAAAAATTGGTGTCAATATAAACCACGGGGTAAGTTAGGTCATTTATGTTCTATGATTCATTCATAAATAACTTAAGGCTGGGTAGAAATACATGTCGGTTCATGTTATCACACCTTGTCAACATACTGAAAGAGAATTAGCATAAAAAGCTACGCAGTCAAAATAATACCAAAAGTAGTTGAAGTGGAAAATATCGGAGAATATTGAAACTCAAAATCTAGAGTGAGCTTCAAAGAGTGAATACATTTATTCCATTACTACCTACATTCGGGCATGCCACTTAAGGTCTTCAACCATATATAACGATTATCTCACAGCTTAACCAAGCACTCTGTATCTTTCTGCACAGTTCAGAACAATAGGCAGTAATTTCATGGACTGATTTTATTTCGTGACCCAGCAGATATCAGACGTTTTTGTTTTCAACGTAATCCTATGTTGACTACTGTCCCACTTCGGGTTATTCATCGCTTTAAATAACACATTTCATAACTATTTCATTTGGTGATCGTTCATAGCACCACCACTATAATACAACACTTACTGAAGGAATCAAGGTCAATCTGTTAGTGGCTTTACTTTAATATCAATAATTTTTCTGTTAATTTAGTACCTCGGCTATCTAAAAGACCGCGTGAACCATTCAAGACGTTACTAAATATAACTTTTCCTCTTAGCCATCATTGATTGCAAATAATGATGTGACTCATCCACCAGGTTCAAATTTATGCACTTGGCTTTGACTCATATATCTTGTTGAAAGGCTAGTAATCCCCTGTTACTCAGATGGTAATGGAGTAAAGTTCGGGTCTGAGATCTAGTGGTCGGAAACCGTGTTTTAATTACTAGACCACTGCTTCCGTAGCGACTGTGCTTCAGAGTTTTATTTTTAAAACAATAGAGTAGATAGACCAACAAAGCTTTTCCTAATTAAATAAAGCAAGAACAAATATTGATGCAGAATAATATGAATTCATAATATTTCGAGGTTTCTCGTCAGCTGCTTACAACCAAATATGTAATAGAATTTTACATTGAGATAAGAAATAGTGTGAAACAATTGACACAAATGAATGTAAATAACTGGAAGGACAAAGGTATACAATAATAACTATATATATATATATATATATATATATATATATATATATATATATATATATGCAAGAGCAGATCAGAGGTTAATTGGTGTTAGAAAAAAGGAAATAATTCAGGATGGGTGGTGTAATTGGTGCTTATTGGAGTTCATAAATTGTGTGATAATTTTAGAGGTAATGGAGGAATCATGGAATTAGAACAATGATAAGATAGGTTACGTAATAATTAAATAGAATTTGAAAAGCTAACATAATTTAAGAGGATCAGTTGGCGGAAATGTGTGAATGAAAAGTTAGTTTAAGAATTAGGTAATGGAGGAGGAATATAACATAACCTCTAAAATTGTATATATATATATATATATATATATATATATATATATATATATATATATATATATATATTGTATATATATAGTTATTATTGTATACCTTTATCATTCCAGTTATTTACATTCATTTGTGTCAATTGTTTCACACTATTTCTTACCTCAATGTGAAATTCTATTACATATTTGGTTATAAGCAGCTGACGAGAAACCTCGAAATATTATGAATTCATACTATTCTGCATCAATATTTATTCTTGCTTTATTTAAATTCATAAAGGGAACTAATTGCATGAAATTTTCCTAGTTAATTTTATCTGTCGCTCCATCGGTCGTATTATTTCTACTATAGTCCCCATATTTTCAAACATTGATCGAATCTGTTAGTATTTTTAGTGTGAAAATTTTGTATTTCTATTTAAACTAATAAAGATTATTTCTTGCTTGAATTGTGAACTATTATGCTCGTTGTCTTAAACGATAACTCGGTAAAAAGAAATCAGCAAAATGACCGTTTAAAAATTGGGAATAACTATAGTAGGGATCATAAGAAGAACAATGGAAAATAACGTATTCGGATAATAGTATGTGTAACTTGAGTGAAAAGTAACTCAGTAATCTAAAAATCAGACCACCACCATTAGTTCTCTCCTTTGATTCTGAATTGGATTGTCAGAGTAACATTTTCAACTAATAGATAATGAAATTTCATCTTTACATTATTCTGGAGAGAAATAAAGTGTAGTATTGGATTTGCACTTATTTTGAACTAATATTAGCTGGAAACTACTCTAATACCAATAAATATTAAAGAGCTGTTTTGTACTACTTACGAACCTTTCAATAATGCATGCTAATTTTCTTATTTCATGACTATCTTTACGTTTGACTGGTTACGATTGTTTCTTGTTGTTGCCGTATCACTTTGAATGTAAACCTAGAGTTAACGAATCATGATTTTCATTGAAATCATGAGCCGATCAATATTAGACCACTTCTGACAACTTAGAGGCGCTGTACGGCCATTCTGTCCCCAGCGTGGGACTCCTCATCACTGTTCATTCTTGACCCCGCTCACTGGACTCGAATACAGGATCTTCGATTTCGTGCATGAACACTTAACCTTCATCCAACGGTGCTTATGTCTAAATTCAGTATATAGTTCATGATTTCAATGAGATTCAACAACACCTAGAACCCCATACTGAAAGCTATCATGCACTCTTTAATGACTAGCTTTGAGAGGTAATTCTTGAAGTTCTAGTGAGAAGCCGTAATCAGTGGAGCTCAACTGTATCGGGTGTGAGGCGGTTACCATTGAGAACGTTAGATCCTCAGAACTCAGGTGGAAAAGGTCCTAATTTTGTAATTTTATTCTGAAAATTTGAATCTTGTGTTCTTGCGCGAAGAGATGCTTAGTTGACATGCAGCTTACATTTCCCACTCGGAAATCCTTGACTGTCATTGGTGGACGGATTTTTTAGTACGCTATTTTGTGGCTCTCCTAAGGGCGTTTCTATCATTGTATAAATAAGATTGATTTGTGTGCTTAGTGACATCGTGTTTTCTGGGTGCTTTATCTACGCCTCATCAGGACTTCTTGATCTAGTTAGCAGGGCCGCGGACAACGAATTAGAATAGCCTATCGTGTCACTGTATCTTGACCTTCGTTCCATTTACCGAGTAAGGTGAACTCGTAATAGCATTCAAGCATATCATTTGGCGACGGTGGTTTTGGAAATGTGGATCCTTCTAAACTTGAATTATTACTTGAGCAGCAACTGAAACTAATGCAGATGTTGACAGATATCAAGATTTCGCCTCTCACACAGCCTAGCACATCTAATGCAACCACAACACCATCAGTAGACGGCATCGTAAATAGCATTACTGAGTTTCATTATGATCATTATGCCAACGTTACTTTTGACATGTGGTTCCGGCGTTATAAAGACCTATTTAAATTTGATTTTGCTAATCAAGATGATGCTTGTAGAGTTCGGCTGCTACTTCGAAAGTTGGATGCAAGTGAGCTGGACAGGTATTGTAATTTGATCCTACCCTTGTACCCACGTGATCGCTCATTCTCAGACACAGTCCAGACATTAACCCAACATTTCGGCGACAACTCATCATTGTTTAATACTCGTTATCGATGTTTGAAACTAATTATGGACGAAGACGATGATTTTCTTACACATGTGGACATTCTCAACCGTGAATGCAAACGCTTCCGGTTGAAGTCTTTGTCTGAAGACCAGTTTAAAGCCTCCATCCTCACGGTTACTGTGTCGATTGGATAAAGATCCTAAACTCACTCTTAGTGACATGGCTAATGAATACCAACGCCTCATTAATCTGCAACGAGACACGACTATGATTCAGAGTGGTGGGTCTAGTCGATCTAAAGTACGAGTAATGCAACAGACACTTAACCAGAATAAATGTGCCCCTGCTACACCCAGTCCGTCCCACTCCAGCTCAGTCCGACAGACTAAAACGAACCCCCCTGCTCCTTGCTGGCACTGTGGTGCATGGCACTATGTACGAAACTGCCCATTTAGGCAACATCGATGCAGGAAGTGTAAGGTCTTCGGTCATAAAGATGGGTTTTGTCTTAAAAGGAAGCCAAACCGATCCAGAAGTACCAAAAAAACTGTTCCTAAATCCTGTACCACTTCGTTGAGCCTATTATCTTCTTGTCAAAGCCCATCCCCAGGTGAGAGGAAATTTATTACTCTTAATATTAATGGACATCTGTTTAGATTGCAGATAAATACAGCATCAGATGTCACCATCCTCTCACGTAAAGTTTGGACCAAAATGGGCAGTCCAAGTGCGTTTCTATCATTGTATAAATAAGCTTGATTTATGTGCTTAGTGAACTCAAATTTTCTGGGTGCTTGTAGAACACATTCTCTACGTCTCATCAAAACTGCTTGATCAACACATCTCCCCTTTTTAATAGCCTACTTTCCTGGGGTCGACCTGCATCTTGATTGTTGTTCATCACTGTTGGAGAGGCCACCTTCTGGAACGGAGATCGGCTTGTTTTTGAGCTCTTTCTCGTGATGGGGCTGCCGGCAATTCGAAGGTATCAAGCAGGATGTCAAGGGGGCGAGTTACTCCTGTTGATAGGCGTTCTGGGGCTGACTGTTTGCGTATCTGGTTCTGATGGCGTGACCATCTATCGCCTCCTACCTCTACTTCGTACATGACATGGCCTACTCTTCTGACCACTCGCGCTTCTATCCATGGACCATGGGTTGCTCTTTAGTCACGGGCAAACACAGGACATCCCACTTTGTACGTGGCTTGCTTTTCAGACTTTTTCTGTACTGGTGTTGATGTATTAGGCTGTGGATCGTTCTCAGTCTTCTTCCCATCAGGATTTCTGCTGGAGACCTTTGCTCGTACTTGCCTCCTACTGCATGTGGTAATTACTTTCACTTAACAGGACAATTAGAATGTAAAGTTACTTTCCGAGATTCATCGTTTACTCGGGTATGTTTTATAACGCCAGCTGATCTAAATTTACTTGGTTTAGATTGGTTCGACTATCCAAAATAGCTGATGTCCCATTGAATATCATATGCCACCCGGTATCACAACCACATGACCCTGAAGCATATACGACAAAGCTAGTGACGCAGTTTTCGTCTATTTCCCAACCAACCTGGCTTGAGTTGGTGTTCTGCCATGAAAGCAACACTTCGGTTGAAACCTGCGGCTAAGACTGTTTTCCGTCCAAAGAGACCCGTGCCTTAAGCAACATTACCAACAGTAGATCAAGAACTGAATCGCCTTCAACAACAAGGAGTTATTACTTCTGTTTCTTACTCTGCTTGGTCAGCATTTATAGTTGTTATCAAGAAGGCCAAAGGCACGATACTTATACCTGCTGACATTACTACAGGTCTCAATGCAGCTCTGGAACAGCATCAATATCCTCTGCGAGTTCATGCATAACAGCTTTCCCTGACGCGTTTGGAAACTGATGTGAAATAACAGCATCGAATTACAATACCTGTCCAGCTCACTTGCATCCAACTTTCGAAGTAGCAGCCGAACTCTACAAGCATCATCTTGATTAGCAAAATCAAATTTAAATAGGTCTTTATAACGCCGGAACCACATGTCAAAAGTAACGTTGGCATAATGATCATAATGAAACTCAGTAATGCTATTTACGATGCCGTCTACTGATGGTGTTGTGGTTGCATTAGATGTGCTAGGCTGTGTGAGAGGCGAAATCTTGATATCTGTCAACATCTGCATTAGTTTCAGTTGCTGCTCAAGTAATAATTCAAGTTTAGAAGGATCCACATTTCCAAAACCACCGTCGCCAAATGATATGCTTGAATGCTATTACGAGTTCACCTTACTCGGTAAATGGAACGAAGGTCAAGATACAGTGACACGATAGGCTATTCTAATTCGTTGTCCGCGGCCCTGCTAACTAGATCAAGAAGTCCTGATGAGGCGTAGATAAAGCACCCAGAAAACACGATGCCACTAAGCACACAAATCAATCTTATTTATACAATGATAGAAACGCCCTTAGGAGAGCCACAAAATAGCGTACTAAAAAATCCGTCCACCAATGACAGTCAAGGATTTCCGAGTGGGAAATGTAAGCTGCATGTCAACTAAGCATCTCTTCGCGCAAGAACACAAGATTCAAATTTTCAGAATAAAATTACAAAATTAGGACCTTTTCCACCTGAGTTCTGGGGGTCTAACTTCCTAATCATTTCTCCCTCTCGTAATGACTTACTTTCGTGGGGTCGACTTGCATCTTGACTGTTGTCATACTGGTATGAATTGTAACTAAGTAAATCTAACCTATTAACTACGTAGTTCTTTTTGCCTTTGAATAAAGTATTTGATGACTTTAATATATTGTTTTGAAAATAAAGCACTTTTTTAAAATCCATGTGCTATTTGTAAATGAGGTGATGGTTGGAATGGGTTCGTAAAATCCTACATGTCTATGTTAGTTTTGTTGTCCAGTAGTTGAAGTATATTTCTTCGAGCGACCAGGTTAAGGCTTCGTGTATATATAATTAGGTTTAGTTAACCTGTCTATGGTTTTTGATATGGCTTATATTTAGCTAAATGTTCAAGCGTATACATTAAAGAAGTCAATATATAATTTTATTTCATATCCTTTTTGATGAAAATGGTGAAATTTGTATCATTTCAGTTTTCATTGGATAATTTCATGCTACCTAAATGTCACTCAAATAAACTTATCCTAATGTTTGTGTAAACTCAGCGTAAGATCGTAGTGCAGGTTTTAGATAGTTTAAAATATTCATATTTCTGTTATGTTTCTGGCTGTCAGATCTTTTAATGTTGATATTATTTCAGAACCTCACCGGTAGATTTAGATGTCTTGTCTAAAACCACCGTTCTAACTTTAACAGTACCCGCTGAAAGTGAAGACACATGGATGTTTTCAAATTACACGGTTGTTGTTAACTACTTTAGTTATATAAGGTAGTTAACTAAGGTAGCATAATTAACTCCTGCCAATCATTTTCAAAAATCGTATAATTTTTCACAGACAAAATTCAATATATAAATGTAATTAATGCTTATTTGAGAGTTGTTTTAATATATGAGGTTTTTTCAAAGTGTTACGTACTAGTTTCATTCCACTAACTAACAAAGCTATGTAGATTAACAGTACTGTAAATTTAATGAGACCTTATTTTACGGAATAAAATTTAGGTCTATGTTTGAGGGTGATATACCTACAACATTCAGCAGTAAATTCGTGTCATTAAATTTAATATACTCAAAAATCAAACCATTCAAAGTAATACATACAGTTGAAATCCGTTTCTCTTATTGTTCATTTAGATTATTTATTCTGCATTTTGTTATATTTTTGTTTTGGTTGGTTTAATTGTATTGTTGATTAGTTGAGATTAAAATATCTGTTGAACAATTTGTTCATATTTAGCCTTAATTAAATGGCTTGACATGCACACTGTTCACGTGGTATGTGACCAATCAGGTTATTTTTGCGTGTTTTATATAACATTTATTCTATAAATGTATATCCGGAAAACGAAATTGAGTAAATCTTTAGAGTAATTTTGTGCCAGTAAAATTACATTGATATTCATTCAGACCTATATGACAAGAGGGCGTAGAAGTGCAGTATTACTACTATAGCCATCCCACCGTGATAACATCCTGAGATTGTATATATTGTCAATGTCCTGATAACCGAATCTGTTGGTAAATCTATACGATGGTAGGTAAATAATACTTGCTTGTTTATGTTCAGTGTTTTATCTTTAAGTGTGTTCTACTAAATATTTCTACTTGAAGTGAATTTTAGTTAATTCGTATAAAGTAAAGTTTTAGGTCTTTTATTTCATCTCACGTTTTAAACCAAATGAGTTTGCTCAAGTTCTGTAGGGGAACATTTCATTTTTTTTCACATTTTAGGTTTATTGTTAGTAAATTTCTCCCCTTCCCTTATACAACAACCAATGAATATTAAACAGTTATTTTTATTGAATTTATAGTGGTTAATATTGTTTTGTATTGTCAACTGAGTCAGAAGTAGTAACTAATATTTTTCACTGATGGTCGGGTTTAATTACCGGTGTTGGGTTGATGGTAGAGACATTGATTATTAGCTCTAAACTAAGTATCGTTTTAGAAATTGAAGCATTCAACTTTCAGCCAGTAGGTTACAGATTTTTACCCCGCTTTACTTAATTTGGTTTGTTCAGCAAGGTACTATTGTAATGACTAAGGACTTCGGCAGGGGAAATCAGCTTTATTAAGCGAAATTACACAGTATTCTTGTAAAATATAAAAACAATAAATTAAATACACTATTTGCACATTTTCCTTGAATTGTCCCTTTCACAAACTACATCGTTCTTCCGTCTCCGTTCTTATTTCGATTACTTTCCGTTTTCCTTTCTCTTTTCTCATTTTCCTCTTCGGTCAGTGTGACTTCTACTTCCAATTCCTGATACACACCGCACTTTCAATGACCCCTCCCTAATGTAAAAAATATAGCTCAAATCTGAATACAAAAACTTATTATGTGAGTTGTATGATTATTATTAAAATAAAAATAATTATCTAAAGCTTTGCTGCTCCAATTCCTATCAATTCTTAGTGAAAACAAACTATGAATATTATATTTATTATTTTCCCTGTTATTTTTGAATTGCGTTCATTATTGTAATAATAATAATAATAATAATAATAATAATAATAATAATTATTATTATTATTATTATTATTATTATTATTATTTCTTCCTTCACTTTAATATGTTAATATTTATGTCTCAATTCTTATTGTAATAGTGTCCGCCTTTTCTGTTAAAGGAGAGAAACGTGTTCAGTTTTCAACGATTATGGACGTTCACAGGTCCTGGATTCTTAATGAGTATTGCCTATCTGGATCCTGGAAATATAGAATCAGATTTGCAAAGTGGTGCAATCGCTAATTATAGAGTAGGTTATTACCATGTTTATAAAATTTGTTCTGATTGATCTTATTATTGAACTAAGCTATTTAAAAAGAATTAAATATGATTTGTCATTATGAAATCAAATCCTATTGTAAATCGTTAGAGAATATATTGTGGTAGATAGTTGTTTTCCTGTTGTTTGAGAGAGATTGGGGTTATTGACACTCCCAAGGTACCTGGACTTGTAGTTTAAGTTATCGACACTTACTGCATTCACTGGGTAGTGGAATAATTGAGCAACTGAATGAACGTATACGGGATCTGTAGCTCATCTGTTTGTAAAGAATTATAATACTGTCCTGTTTCTGAGTTTTCAATGTATGTGATATGGTCTCATTTTTTGACAAACTGATTGACGCTTGAGTATCCTAACATCTTTAAGCTACATCTTTATGTCGAATAAGTTTCGTTCTTTTTGGAAAATCAATAAAATATTGAAATTTCGACTTATTTTCGGTGAAACTCTGGCTTCTCAACTTTTAAACATGTTTTCATGAAAGGAAATTACTTCACTCAATTCGTTCCTTCTTTATTTACCAAATGTCAAAACGGGAATTTTCACTATTTTAAATATGTGATTATCTTTAATCTGTACTTAGATCATATAGTTTATTTTTACTACGTCTACCTTGATTCAGTTGATAATGAACCAAAGGCTTGCTGGTACTTTGTAATTAGTCGTTAACCTTTGTCTATGATGTGCACGACGTGTTTCTATTCCAGTTACTGTTATCGGAAACCAGACCTTTTATTAACATTTGTCAGTGTTTGTCTCTGTTTAGTCGCGATTGTTTACTTACTTCTTCTTTAATATGTTCAAGAATATTTTATGTTTCACGAAAGTCATGTAATTGTATGGTATTATAAAATCTAATCTTTCTTATTGTTTTATATAATTTTTTGTTATTTTAGTCGAGACTGCAGGTAGCTCATCGTTTTTCTGCAGTCTCTGCTATAATTATTATATATGTTAGATGGTTAGCGAACTACCTTTTTATTTCTAAGGATGATGTTTGTGGTTAAAAGAAAATCTGAATATTGACAGGATTCAAATATATAAATTTCAAATTACCAGTCTAAACGTCTGAATTTGTTAATTCAAGTTTTACCGTTACATAGCTTATTTGTTAACAATATTTATTGTGAGAAATTTGGCGGGTTTATTTTAAGTACCGTGTTTTTCTTTTCTAACTGACATTCAGCTTCTATGGCTTTTACTCCTAGCTACATTGATGGGATTATTTCTACAACGTCTGGCTGCTCGTTTGGGTGTAGTGTCAGGTAGACATTTAGCAGAAGTATGCTATGATGAATATCCTACACCGGCACGTATTATACTATGGATTATGGTTGAGGTTGCAATTATTGGGTCAGATATGCAAGTAAGTTTTGTTTATTTTGTTACGAATTTTATTAGAATTCTCTGCAGTATAACATGTCATTATCATTTTTCCACTTATTGTGCAACGGTCCGCTACCTACAGTGGTTACTCATTTGTTTGAACGAGTATCTAAACTCAAAAGTGTTTGATTGTAGATCTCTATAAAAAATTGTTCATATTGACACTCAAAAATGCATAAGTTTAGGTTTTTATACTGCTCAGTGAGACAAAAGAGTGATTGTTTAGCGGGTTAGGTATTTGAGTTTCAACTGCATGCTCATACCTAAACCCTGTTATATAGAATATGTTTTCGAGTTTGTGACTGTCAAATGTGGTACAAAACTCTCATGTATTTATAGTTTTTTTGTAAAAGCGATGTCATCATTATAGTTATCCAATCTGCATAAAACGGTTTTTAGCGTTTTCCCAATAGGGAAGCTACACGTAGATATTCTGAAATGTTCTTCCAAAAAATGATTAGATGGAATGTCTTCAGCTCTTTCTGAGCTTCTTAGAGCTTCCTCAAGTTCACCCGTGGACCGTCCACACAGTAATAAAAAACACATTTGGGCGGAATGCTAAACTATTGATGATAAGAGGGGAAGAAAGTATTCAATATAGTTGATTGAATGAAAGCTGTTCACAAGACTTAATTGTTGATGTGAGCTTTCAGAAGATATAAGAATGTAGTTCTCTTGGCTATATTCATAAAACGATAAACTCTCCATTGATATTCTGAATAAAATGATTCAAAATCAATCACAAAAGTCCTGGTTTACTCTTTCTACGTCTGAATATTCAGTTGTTGTTTTTCTTTAAAAGAGTTACGGTAAGATTTCTTAGCTTAATTTACAATATATATCGTAATAATGTATTTGTTGAACCCTATGAATTAAATGGTGTGATTGTGTTTTCGAATTTTCAACATAAAGTTGATATAAAAAATAATATGTTTAAATGTTTTCATCTCAATCGTTGTTGTTAGCAAAGCAGTTTCTTGTGACCATTTTCTTTCTTTTTTGTTTGATTTTATTTGATTCTAGGAGGTGATTGGTACTGCTATAGCTATAAATTTATTAAGTTTTGGTTATATACCTTTATGGGCTGGTGTACTTATCACTATTTTGGATACTTTCACTTTTTTATTTCTTGATAAATATGGTTTACGTAAATTAGAGTTCTTTTTTGGACTTTTAATAACTATTATGGCCGTGACATTTGGTTATGAGGTTAGTTAATATTATATCTAAATATTTTTAATGATCATTTGTTCTTATGATATTTAGGAAAAAAATTTTGTTTTTCGAATACAGGAAAAAAATGCTTAATTTATACCCCAAAAATAAATTTTTGTGGCGAAATTTCTTATAATAATAATAATAATAATAATAAACTTAGTGGGCATATCAGATTAAAACTCCTTTAAAACAAACCCACCGAAAGATCAATAGTGTAATACAATTTCTACTTTGTCCTATTTAATTGAAAGAAAGAAATGTAAACAAATTGGAAAACAAAAAAAGAACAATTACAGTATAGTTAACAGAAACACATAAATAGTCATTGTGAATAAAAACAAAACACTTTGAATATATCTTAATAAAAAAATAGGATATTTTCATTTTATACAACCATTTACTTTTAAGTGTATAATGATAAATGATTGAAACTATTTCATAATCAAAATTTTCACTTGTTAATTTGATATAATAGTTAAAGTTTTTGTATAATTATTATTTCTTAATTTAAAATTATACACTAAGTCCATTTGAAACAAATTTGAAACCTTGGAGATTCATTTATTGTACTGATCTACTAGGAATGTAAACAATTTCTTTTATTCATTTATATATTGATTATCATTAATAACTTTGCTTTCATCTTTTTTAAGATTTCATCTTTAACATATATTATTATGTTAAATATGTTGTTTCTTCTTTTTGTTTCTAACTAAACTTTATTGATTTATGGTAGCGTTACTAAATTTAGACCATTTGGAATTGAAACATAATGAATTCATGTTATTATATATATCTTGTTCTTCTCGCTTTATATTAAATTAATCAAGGGATCACAATGTATGAAATCTCCAAAAAAAGAAAATTACTATGCTTTACTAAGGTTTTTTTGTTTGAACTTTCGTCAATGTTTAGACGAACACTCATCTATACATAAAAGACAATAGATATAAAGATTTATTTTTGTTCTGAAGAAATGGTTTACATGATTTCACGAAATATTAAAAATTCTAATTTCTATTCGTTGGGATGTCACAAATCAATCATTATTTTGTTACAAAGAAAAGACTTCTAAAATTCTTACAAAAATTAGTTAACTTCAATGAAAATAAAATCTTTCACAAAGGTTTCAGGTCTTATGATGAAAATCCGATAACCTATATCGTACATTTATAGACGAATCGAAACAATCTGATTAGAACGGATAAGATTCAGTTATCTGTAGTGAGAATTATTGATGCATAGGTGAATAGAGGAAAACATTATCCATTTGTGTATTCAGTATTATAATGTTCTTTATTGTCACTGATACTTCTACTACTTTGGTATTCATCTTGATAATTGCTGATGCCTTGTGGAAACTTTGCCTGATACATGTATGTACCAAACTATGTTAATTGTGATTAACTGATCTAAGAGGTTTTCTTACCCGTAGTGGCTGCTTTTGTCTTAATTATGAATTCGTGCAGGAAGTTTTTCATAAGGTTAACAAAATGTCCATTTTGTAGAACTGTTTTCTGTAGGTACTCCATTTTTTATTTTAAATTGTCTTAATATAACCATAGGATTATAGCTTTGTGATGCGAAACAGCTGTGCTATTCACGAGACCTGCGGGTTTTAGTCCTATCTTATATGGCGTCCTTAGTGCGTTTTGTCGAGGAGTCAGAAATGATGACGAAACTGCCGTTAAATGCTTCTTGAATCTTAAGCGTTCTCAAGCTGATGTCATTTTTGGCGGAAGATCTTCACAAACGTATCTACAAGTTAAAAATTGAAATGTGTTTTTGTGTTTCATAAATTAAATGGTTGATTCTCATTTATTTACTCACAGAATCATGTCATTAAAATAAATACATAATTTCCATATTTAATTTTTTTCCATTCAGTATATTGTTGTAAAACCCGATCAAGTATCTCTTTTACGTGGATTATTTGTGCCTTCTTGTCCTGGTTGTGGTTGGCCTGAATTGGAACAAGCTGTTGGTATCCTCGGTGCTGTTGTAATGCCTCATAATTTTTACCTACATTCTGCTCTTGTTAAATCACGTGATATAGATCGAAATAATCCATCTTTGGTACGTTCTTAATTTTCTCTATGGTTTATGTTTCATTAAACATATATTGTTAATGCTCTGTGGTGTGTCGAATGATTATCTTTACTTAATCTATGTGTGTACTTTTCAACAAGACGTTTCCAAATTAATTTCCAGGATAACCGATAGTATTTTTATATCAGTTACTTTTAAGAACAGCAATCTTATCGGAATAATCTGAATTCAATTATTTCGTGGATTTTATTCAGCTGCTTATAATCTAGAAATAACAGTAATAATTCTTTTAAAAAACATATTTACTATATATCTTCTTAACAGAAAACTCGTCATTAATGAAGGAGAATAAATTTAGGCAATAAATGTATCAAAATTATAAGAACTGTTTATATAGTTGATTATTTATATGTTAACTGGTGTAAATAGTCTGTAAGGAGATTTTGAAACGTATGAAGTCAGGGTTTTAGAAATGATAAGTTAGTGACAAAAGTTATGTAATAATGGCTTGAAAAGTTAAGTTGACTAGAAGAGTATAACTCAGATAAGATGTAGTAACGATAAAAAATTGATAATTGAAGGAATGAAGTAAGATGTTACGCAATTAAGTGTTGTAAACTAAAGTCAGTAGGGCAATATAAGACTGATATTAGTGTTCTTTTAAATAGAGAAATCCAGTTTAGGCATTTTTATAGTAATGACTTCGTCATAATGCTAAAAATTCGAAGTGACGTGCACATTTATTGTTTTGAAGGATTTATGAATGTAGAAATCGTGTACAATATCAACAAGATGGTGGGCATTGACATCTGATTCTGTTTTTGGTTTGTCCGCTGATGATTTACAATAGAGATGATTGGGTTTTTGGTAGCATTGTATTCCCATTTCTCAGTAATTTCGGTTATGAATTTGTTCTCTTGAGGAACCATAGAAAACAAACTTGCTCATTAATTACCTACGCTCAACATTGATATCCAAGATTTCTCTAAATATATCTGGGAGTTAGTAAGATGGAGTAGGAGATAGGGCCAAGTTGCGTATACTTGAGAAGTAGAATAATTCATTCCGACTCGGGTCAACTTAGATACAGTCATGATTTCAGTCCGATTGTAAGAGTCCGGGTGCTAAACTTGGTGACAGTAGTACTGCTCTGTGCCTTTAAAATATGGTATCCGAATTGAGGATATTCGGCTACTCTCTGTTTCTGATTAACATTTTCTTAAACAGGTTCCTTGGATTTGAGGCGTAACTGAACAAGTGGTGATAAAATCTGACATTTCTTCGAGCACAGTGGAGACTATCAATTATTTGGTGCAGTCTTCAAACATGAACTTCATTAACTTCGTCCTGTTTCACATGAAATGTAGTGAATCTCCTGTACCAAGTTTTGTATGTTAAGACTCCGTAGGAAAGCGGATAAGTGAGCAGTCAGTTGTGTGATGCTTCTAAATGAAGGATGTAAATATTTCTACTCACTAGATTAGATTCTATGGTTTCTGTCATTTGGTTGTTTGAAGTGTTGCCAATACATCATTCAATACAAGATTGTTTCCTCGACAAATAATAAAGTGTAATTTTGAGTCGAATGAAATTCGTCTAAGTAACATTTCTATTTGATCTGTATAATATATTATTTTTTAAAATACATATTTCATTATCATGCAACCTCTCAGCAATTTGTTTCACATCATATTCATCGTAAATGTTTTTGGATAGTGTACTTATTTATTTATATTATTGTCAATAAATGATAATACTATAGGTTGTATGAATAAATGTTAAACATTAATGTTTTTAGCAAATGTGAATTAATAAGTAGACTTTGATTTTAACGGTATCAAATATTAGAGTGTAGAGTTCGAAAAATACTATTTCACCAACAGGATCAATATTATGTGCTGTTTTAGAATACTGCTATAGTTGTGTTTTTGGGGTGGATGAACGGCGCGAGTGAGTGAGACGATAATCTCAGAATTGCAAACATAGTATTAGGTGGTTAAGAACTAAGCGTGTAAATATTCAGTATTTTGTTTTTAAATCAGATAATAGCATAGGAAATTGTAAGTTATCAATTATTATAAGGTACTAATTGCTAAGTTCACCGGAATTAACATATAGTTGTCTTTTAATTATAAATTTTTTATTGTGCAAACAATTACTTTAAGTTAAATACACTAAAACGGTCATAGTCATTGAATTTTTCCTTTCGATTTCGATGTTTCAACTAACGAGGATGAACAGATTCTATATTTCAAGCTTGTATTGGAGTACTTTGTATTGAAACATTTAAAGTTCAGGTAATGTAAATTGATGTTAGTTTATATGAAGAGATCGAGGTAAATCAATGTTTGTCATATTAATTGTTCTCACCGACTCAGTTGTACATGTAGTCAGTATGTACTAACTTTTTTTGTTCATTTAAAGTATGAGGCTAACTCTTAGGTTGATAGTTTCAGAAGCATTCTATTTTTCATTTGAGCGTGATAAGGTTAAAAAGTTTACTTCACTTGAATTATAAATTTTAGAAAGCATCACAATTTCATTGATTTCAATATAACATTTATCTATCGAGGTATTACTTAAAACAAATATACGTAGAGCAAAGATAACAACAACAACAGCAACAGTAAATCAGCCATAAGATGGGGATATATTTTATGATTTTCGTGATTATAATGTTAATGAGTATCAAAATAAGACACCATCCATTTGGTATATACATCTAATGTTACTATTTATATCAAATTGATCATGCCTGTAAACTGGCATAAATTCTGTAATTATTTTCAGAATATATAAATTATTATTATTATGTATTTGTCATAGGAGTAGATGTTCGTTTGTGTGACCCTTTCTCACGTATAACTTTTTTTCTTATGTGTCGAGTTCATGTTTATACGCTTTGCTCATTATTTTTCTAGTTATACATAGAAAGTTAATTTCTAATCTCTCGTTACTAGTGTCATGCTTTTGTTTTAAAATGTGTTTTTATTCTGTTGTGGGGGGTTGTTTATAGGTTCGTGAAGCGAACATGTATTACTTCATTGAATCAACCATTGCATTATTCGTTTCTCTTATGATAAATATATTTGTTGTATCGGTATTTGGTGCTGGGTTTTATGGTAAAAATGTTAAACAAGTGGTAGGTTATATTTTGTTTGAATATTTTTCCTATATATATATATATATATATATATATATATATATATATATATATATATATATATATATATATATATATATATTACTGAAACGGTTGCTTATTCGTTAAAAACCCCATTCTGTTGCCGTGTCTTTATACAGTTTACAAAACAATTTCACCATGTAACATGAAACTTGATAGTTGTGGTCTTACATCCATCTAGCTGATTTCCGCGGCATAATAGGACCTCAGTAGATAAATATTAAAATCAATGTAGTTTAGTTGGCCCGTTTTAAATGAACAGGTTTGACCATCATGTCGAATTAACGTCTACAGTTGGGTCTGACTTTCATTGGAAAGTTATGTATAACATTTTGATCATGGTAAATATAGCAATAATCATTCTTTTATTCATTATAATATTTATGAATTATAATAATTTTATTTAGTGAGATTCAAGTGTGCTTGGTATTATGTCGTTTAGCGAGTTAATATCATTCGGACTTTTAAAGTAATGTAACCATTGTTTACTACATCTGAATATTCAACAAATATGTACAACCTTATTCAGTAATAATAAGTCAAACTAAAGATTTTTCCCCTAAAAGTTGCCTAAAAATAATTAGATTGTTTCAACTTATCATTTTACCATTGATTAAGTTAATGAACCCCATTTATCATTGACAAAATTACTCTGCCTCTTCTTAATTTCTGGTTATTTTTCTGGTATGCTTTATTAGATTGAAAATTGCACACTTGAAGGTAAAATTCCTGTTCGTTTTACAAATGCTGTAAGTTTTTTGTTTATCAATTACATTATTGTTATATTTTCAAGTTTATAGCTTTTAATGCAATGTTACTGAGATGAATTTAGTCTAAATAACGGATATTGAAATATCTAATGGTTTAGAGATGTCCGCTTCTTTTGATGACTTTTGTAAAATCCTGAAGAATAATATACTGAAATGTTTGAAAAGGAATTATTTTAACTCAAAGTCTCAAGTTGATTGCCTGAAAGTTGAATATTAGTTGGAGATATTTAATACGAGTGCGTACTGAGTCTTTCTAAAAGAGAGCAAGAACGAAGATTGGCGCAGAATAATCTGAATTCATTTTACTTCATTAGGTTCTCATCAGCTGCTTACAGGATATCTCAATGAAGTGAAGGAAGGATGGCATAGTTAAATGTTCAGTTTATAAGAAAAACACATGGAATGGTGTTTATCTCAATTTCAATAGCTTTTGTCCAATCAGTTACAAAAAGGCACTTATCAAAACACTGTTTCACAGAACAGAAATAATATGTACTGCCGATACACTAGAAGAGGAAGTTAAGAATGTTAAAAAATGTTTAAAGAACAACGGATACCCACTGGAATTTATTGAGAAATATGGAAAACGTGAAGATAAAAAACTCAAAGAAACTACAGCAAATAAAAAGCCTATTTTCATTCAACTTAAATTCAAAGGTGATGTCACAGGGTCAATCAATATAAGACTAAAAACTGCGTTGAAAAGAACTTATCCTGCAGCTTAACTGATTGTCCTGTCCAAAACAACATATTCTTTGACACAATCAAAGGTCTATAGTTATCCCTTTCATGTTACCATCAACTGTGTATACAAATTTACATGTATCTGTCAAGGTAGTTACATTGGTAGAACAGAAAAGAGAGCCTACGCCCGATTCAAAGAACATATTCCGAAAAGTTTATGATCAAATGTATTAGAAGCATTCAACAGTGCCATCGCAAGGCATCTCCTTGACACAGGACACGAAGTCGATACACTGAAGTCCTTCAAGGTGATTAACAAACAATCAAACTCCGACTTTTTGAAATTTGCCGAAGCGATAACAATCAAACTTCTAAAAGCAGATCTATGTATCCAACAAGAGGCAGTAATAAATCTTTCTTTGCCTTGGTAACATTAAACCCTCCTTTTTTATTTATTACGTCATTCATCATTTCAACTCTCTGAAGTTTAAATTACATCATTATCATTTTTCTTCAATTTATAACTGACTGATAGCAATTCATATCTTTCTTTATTACCATTAATCTATTTTCATTTGCTTCATTACTCAATCATCTAATGTTTGTTAACTCAATGAGTTCTAATCACTATTTCAATGTTCTGGAACTTTCCCTCTCAAACTTTATTTATCCGAAACAAAATTTTTTATAACCTTATTAACTCTATTGAAGTCTTTACTACATCATGATACATATATTCATCTTTAGTTACCCTCTTATGTATAAGTATGTCGATATCTGTAATAACGTTGATTTTAAAATATTTAAGGTTGTAAGTAGCTGATGAGAACCCAACGAAATAAAATGGATTCATATTATTCTGCACCAATCTTCGTTCTTTCTCTCTTTAAGATAATAAAGGGAACTATGTGTATGAATTTAGTCTTTCTAGTTAGTCAACATTATTTTTTGCCAGTTGTTGGCAATCGTCTAACTATTTGTTACTGATTTATACAAATATTCATCAGTATTAGGACGAATAGTTTGACAAAATTTGGGCGCCGATTATGGAAAAGTCATTGTATGTGAAGATTATGTTTAGAATAATCTCAGAGATTGAAATCTAAACAATTCCAACGTTTCGTCCAGCGAGCCTGTCTGGACTTCTTCAGGGTTTTAATCGAAATCAAGATCAAAGAAATTTAAATTTCAATCGCTGTGATTATTTCAAATATAATTTTCACACATAATATTTGTTACTGATTTTTTCAATCATATATTGCTTCTATAGTCTATATCTAATTCTTTTGTTTAAAACCTCTATAATGGCCTTGCATTTCATAATCAGTTTATGTGTAAATGCATCATAACTTGTTAACCGCGTTGTGTCCTACTTTTTAAATCTAACACCCGTTGATATTTGTCTATATTTGGTCAATTTTTCATTGATAATGTGATGTTAATTTCTTTGTCAGCGTAAATTTAATATCATCAGTTAATGGAAAATTTATTAAATCACACAGTAGATGGTGATATTTTTGTGTCATTTCACTTAATTATCTTGGTTAACTTAACAAATCATATGTTAAATGGTGCAGATTGCAAAGAATGATGGCGTCTCATCAAGGAAAAATGTTTTCAATACCATTTCCTTACGCTGTACGATCTATTTATAGGTAATTTTTTATATTCAGTATTTAGTGAAATAGAAAAGTGTTAAACTTCATTCAAATATCGATTGTAAAAGTTTACAGAAATGAAGTAATCTAATAAAAGTAGTCACAAACATTATCAACAGATTTAAAGTATTGGCTATAAATTCATAGACGGAATGGTGTTATTTGAGAGTAATTAAAGTTATTGAAAGTTTAACAAGTACTGAATAGAATAGGTGTTGCGTCATTAAGCAAAGTAATCAGAAATTATCAGTAAATAAAGTTATTCATTGATGATGAATTTTAATATTGATAATTTTCTCAGTTAATTTTAGTTAGTACAAGAATTTTCCGTGTATATTGTGTGACCTATATGTTATTCTGTTATCTTTTAATACAGACGAAGTAATCAATTAATGATGATGTAAAGTAGATGAATTATATCTATTGTTCATTTAGTTAGTAACTGTTCTTTTCTTCTGCCGACATAGATAATTGTTAACCTTTAATACTTTATCATGAATAGGTTGATTATGAATTGTTTAGAAATTTTAAGTACTTCAATAGATATTAAATTCTGAAAATAATAATAATAATGTTTCTTGTGAGATATTGATTGATTGTTCCTTTAATAAACATAACGAAATTTCATGCTAAATGCTGAGATAGGAGGAATTGAGTAAACTTAGGTATCATTACTAAGGTTTGACTTGGTGATTTCGAATAAATTGAACATTGGGTAGATTGTTATAAATAAACTAATATATTTATAATAATCATTATTTATTCTCTGAAGAAGTGGATTACATTGAGTCACGAAACATCAGAAAATTTAATTTTTCTACTCATTGGGATACTAGAAATATATTAATTTATTTATTGTGTAAACATGTTATTTTCACGATCTAAGATTGTACTTTAGCATGCAATACTATCACGGACTTATTTATCCATAGTTAGTATTTGGCATCTCATCTGATTTGTGACAAAGTTATCTTACTGTTAGTCACTTGTCATATTAAGCTCTTTAATTCTGTTACGTTGTCCTTCTCTAATGATGGATAGATTAACAACTCAGCAAGAAATGCCTCTAGAGTATCAAACGGCCTGTCAAACTGGTTATGCAAGTATTCATGACTTTAATGTACTCATTTTCTGGCAATAAAACTGTTATAACGTGAAATGCTGCTGATTAGAGGATAGCGAGCGAATTTATCGATCGGACCAAAGACGCGTAAACACGTAAGAACGGCTTAGAGTTCTGACTGGTCCCACTTCCCTGTCTAGCCCAGCCAGTTGAGTTCAGAACGCAAGTCTAAGCCTCGGAGAAATGAATCATTATATTTCAAACATACTCTGTTTATATATACCAATCAGGCAGACCAAATCGTACCATAAAATAGAAAACAATATTGACCAGTAGGAAAACGACAGGTGAAATAAATATTGACCAATAAAAAAATAACACCATTTCAAGTCCAAAGATAGCGTTAGACTTAACAGAATAATTTTTGGGATATTTCCTTGAATATCCCAACAAAAACATAATGTTCTGTTACTTAATTAGCAAGTTATTTATAGTAGTATAATAGGTGCATAAGTCATTGAGCGTCATTACCAACCCCGTCTGCGATATTAACCTTGAGTCGTTTCATGAACGTTCAAAATTTAAGAATTTTAATCTCAGGCAGTCCAACTGTTGTCAATAATGATCTGACGGATTTCTGTTTTAAGTTCATTTGCATCGTCCAAATCTTTGTTGGTATATTGTTTTATCATTGCAGCATCAGTAGTTACGCTTTTAGATTGAAATCCAGGTGTCTCACCACTTTCGTTCGGGTCCTTAAAGGTCATCTGATGCATGTCTGATTTTTATTAACCTCTTACATAGTTTGTCATCATGAAAGTGATAGTTTACAAACATAACAGAGTTCACCTTAAATGAAGAAAATAAAGGATTTTGATATTCTGTTTCGTTTAATTTGTCTTGTTTGTCTGTGATCGTCTCTATACGTCTCGTTACCGTCATTGTCAAAGTTATTTACGTATTCAGGTTCTAAGCCAAATTAAATATACAACAATAAAGATTCTGATTTTTAATTAGAACTCAGTACTGTGAAATATTTTCAGTACACGTAAATCTAGCCATCAAAACGTAAGATTTTATGTTATACTTGACTATGAGTTACACCTCATTTGTAGTGAAATACATAAAATTCCGTGCATATGGTAGGAAGTGCAAATCCAAATAAAGGATCAAAGTACTTGATTGTTAATTTCTAGAAGCTTAAGTAATATATTATTACTTATAGGGTGTATTAAAACTTAATAAATAGAAACAGTATTCGATATTAGCAGACATTTAGTGAACTGCCCTAAAATCTATTAAAAGTTTCGTATTTCCACTTTATTGAGTCGTTCAATATTTTATCAAGTTGATCATTAGTCGTGATTGTAATTAGTAATCGATATGTGTATATTTTGCGTTTTTCCACTTTGACATACATTCAATTTAAACTAACTATGAAAACAACTTTGTATGCTAATTGTTTCACTGTTTTTTTTTACGAATCGTCTGGTTTATATTGTTTGGTGTGCTAATGTATAACCCCTCAACGCTGTGTTTGTATATGTGTTTGTTAAGAAGTCTTCAGATTTCACTCGATTAAGTATTCATATGACGAGAATAGATTTTAATATAATTGTGATCATAAATAAGCGCTTTGCTTTTTGAGATAATAATAGTAATAATCGCTCTATGTGACACCGTTTATTTGATCACAATAAAGAATTTTTAGTACAAGCTGTCCAATATTACAGTAAATTCCCATTGTATGTATACTTAACATGTAAGTAGATATAGTCTTCAGTGGTAATTAGCTATCATTTTTCTTTATCCACAAACATGTTCAACCAGTTTTACTCATATGAAGTTGCTTTTTACCGTATAATATATTTGATGGATGAATAGCATTGGGATCGCCCCTCGTTTCTCCAGATGACAGACAATAAAATGATGTTCTAATCACTGTGTAGTTCCGCATGCAGTTCGCACTACGTGATATATTGTAAGCTGGTATATCCGGCTAACCAGTCACTCTAAGCAACTCTAAAATATTAACATCCGTTTTGATATTTGTGCAGTTGATGAGATTAGTGAGCCTTACGTTTGATCAGGTTGCCAAAAGTTTATTTGAAATAAAGGCGAAACTTGCTCATTTCTAGTACTAGAATATGTTTTACAGTAAGTTACAGATATTTAGAGTGTACTGGTATGGAGGAGGATCGTATTCATAAGAAGAGCCGTCGCTAGTATGATTCTACCATCTCCAGTGCAAGACGGTTATCCACATCAGGCAATGGATTGTGGTCACACAATATTGCGAATCGATTGGGCTTAGAGATGTATAAATTATATTCCAGCTCAGCGGTTTAGAGTTTAAGTGTTCACTAGTGAGAATGAAGGTCATGGATTCAATTATTGACTACTAGGCCCTGAGTATCCACTGCTGAGGAATCCCATACTTGGACGAAACGATTTTCAAGTGCTTCCTGACTTTTAATGGTTTAACTAAGATCTATCCGTGATGCAAACTGAAGGAAAGAATCCCATACTAGGACGAAACGGTTTTCAAGTGCTTCCTGATTTTTAACGGTTTAACTAAAATCTATCCGTGATGCAAATTGAAGGAATTTAATAATCTCCATAAAAATTATACTATGCAAACAAAGAAGATTAATTTTGTCTAACTTCTATATCGAAGTTTTGTATTTAACATTGTATTAAATCGTCTATCTAACATCCCGAACTCAAATACATATGATATTAAATACTCATACTTTATTGTCGACTCAGCGTAATTTCTTTATAAGTCTGCCTTTTTTGTTATCAATATTCGTGTCATTTGCATACATCAGTAAACTGAATTCTTGAACTCTGTATTATAATATGCGTTTAACAATACACCAGGCTTTAAAACAAAATCCCCCCCGTAAGAATGTCAGTAGTGACCTGTGGTTTATGAATAGTTGTTTATTGTCCAATCACATCAATCAGTCAAAGGTAAACAATCTTCAACAGAACATAAATGTTTGTCGATCTATGTTGCTTCACTACTCTGAGACAGAAAAATCAAGGGATGAAAAACATAGGAAAAAGTAATGTCTACGGTAATAGAAGAGTGAGCTTCAGAATTAGTTTTCAGAATAACTTGATAAAATCAAATGCTAAGATAAAGTGGGTAATACTGAGCTCAAAATTTAGATGAAGGTGACGAGTTTACGCTATTAAATTTGATTACTTCAAATCTTTATTTATAATCTACGACCGATCACCTCGCAATGTACTCAGTTACTCATACTCAATGTAGAACCTAGCACATATGTGTATCGGTTCAAATTGTAACATCATATTAGAACAGCGAAATGAAACTACCATGAGAAACTCCAGAGTAGTATAAGTAGTTATAGTATCAGTGGTAGTATAAAGGATTAAACATAAACAATATAATTTGCGGAGTAATGAGTTTACAGAATGAAAAAGATAATTGTGAAATTTAGTATTGAAGGAAAGATCGTGAGTGAATGGATCTATGCCACGGCGGCGAATTTCGACCGTATCATCCAACGTCTCTAGCCATTGATAACAATGATTGGGCGAACCCTAACCAGGATGTATGCATCTGTTGACATGGCTGATTTCATGTCATGCACTTCACGAACTGGTACGACGTTTTGGCTTGATCTCCCCCAATCTTTTTCCATTCTACTCTCGGATAGGCAAACATCACACGTTGAGGTAGGCGGTGATTGAGCCCCACGGTTTGCGACTCTTGTTTAACCGATTTTGAATATCTTAGTCGATAACATGATCCATGTAATTGTCTTTCACTAAACTCCTTTCGTTCGTAGTTTTTTAATCAGTTTCATGTCAAGTAATAGTTTTTGGCAGAGACGGTATGTGTAGTTATATATTAATGTTATTATTGTTGATGTTGATTTTGTGATTTTGGCATGCGTTCGAGTTACACCATAATCTACAGTAGTTTACAAATTTACTGTATTTTCAATTTTTTTCCAGGCTTCTAGTTTTGATCCAAATAGTGTTGATTTGTACACAGGAGTAAGTTGAGTTACTGTACTAACAATTACTTTACTTATGATTATATTGTTATATACTGCAACGGAAATTAGTGTAAGGTGAGAACAATGTGTAAAACGCATTGTTCTAGGGAATTTAATAGTTTATTCTCAACTTTCAACTGTGATCGGAGACGGGCATTTAACAACCAAGTATGTCTAATTAACAAGTCATATTTTGTAAGAAACGCGTATTCCTTATTCTACTACTAACCTCTAAATCTAATTGTTAAGTTGTTTAGAAATTTCTCACACAGTCATTTTTGGGGAACTAGGTAGGCATGATTGATACTTAGACTATAAGTATAATTTCGTGTATCAGATTGTATTCAATTAGTTGCCTTGGATTATGCCATGAAAAAGTTTTATATTTGATTAAACTTTCTATTCATTGAATATTTAAATTGAGACAACTTGTATTTTGAAACATTTTATATCATCAATTCCGTAATAGGTGTGTTGAGTAAACAAAATTGATCGCTTTTATTGTGTTCAGAAAGTGACTTTGTAAACTGACTTTATTATTCTCACTTAGATGTATAAAAATCCCCATCTCACTAATATATGAACGAAGAATATTGTTTTCAATAGGTCCTCTGCGGGTTCTACAATTATATATGTCTAAATTAGTAATCCAAAAAGGTGACCAGATTTAAGGTGAATTATGTGGTTTTAAGTTATAGCATGTGAATGTCGGATTGTAGAATAACATAAAGTTGTTAATGTTGAGGTGACCAATATTGAATTTTAAATGAAATTATATTCAACTAAGAAATGTAGTATGTACGTTAGTGAGATTAGGTCATGCTGTAGTTAAGATTACTATTCATTGATTGGATTTGACGTTGTCCATCGTAGGGGAAGCGGTTGGACATATATCTTTTGTACACATAGTTCTGGATTTTGAATCGAAATGGTTATTTGTATTTGGGTTTGAAGGACTTTTAGTCAGACTGAGTTTGGCAAACGTGGTGACATTAGCGTTGTATTATTGTGGTTGAAAAAATGAAAATTTGTTTTGAGTTAGGTGAACAGATCTCGATGGTTCATATTTTTATGAATAAGTGTTTCTGTTTACCCAGATCAGTAAGAATAAGTTGAAATCTAGTTCACTCACTCCGATTTATTTGTTGAGTAAAGAAGATAGAATACATCTAATACAACACGATTCAATTTATTTAGCTGTTTAAAAAAATCAGTTGAGCTTCAACTATAGATTTACAGGTTATTCTTACTGAAATTATATTTACTTTTATAGATGAATATTACTACCGATTTACATATCAAGTAGAGAATAGTAGTCTGGTTACTCCACATTAGTTCAACAGTCGATTTCATGGTTACATTGATAGTATATTATGAATTACTACTATTAATACTGCGGTTATGTATTTCACTGTTTAATTAGTAGATTCATGAAATTATTGAGATTTGTAAATATTCTGATTACATATTAGTTTCATATTTCAACATGTCATTACAGAAATAATATTGATTTCCTATTTTTATAGTCATATATGTGTATACTTATTGTCTGGTTGGCTACTTTGATAGAAAAATATTAAACTCAATGGTTGGAATAAGTAGTTCTATAATCATTCAAATTGGTCTTCATGAGGTTAAATCAACTCGATCCCAATTAATGAAAGCACTGATTGACAGTGTAATTTGTTATTTTATTGGTAGTCAGTATCTACTACTAATATTGATTGTATTTATTATTTAGTCAACTTAGTTTTCAGCGCAAAACTTTCTAGCTAACGTAGATTAACTTGCATGGGTATATGCAATATTACTACATTATGGATTATATAATAATAATTGGGGAAATCCATTTTACAAGTTTTCTACTCCTTTAAATTACGATTTTGAATAGTTAGTATCCAACAGGAATTTCTCATGAAATAATATCTGGTTATAATAACGATAAGTGATTTAGATAAACGTTAAAGTACAAACTATTTGGTATATAAGATGTTAAATAATTGATGCTTTAAACATTTTCTTCGCTTACTTAACTAATTTATTTGTGTTTTCTCTCGTTATAATCATAAATATTTAGTTTACTTAATATTCTCTACCTTTGTCATGATGAATATTCTTTTGTGATTTATTTCTAAACAAATCTTATCATCAAGGGAATATTTCTAGGTTGTGAGTTTGGTCTCGCCTGTCTTTTTATTTGGGCTATCGGTTTATTGGCTGCTGGGCAGTCGTCTACAATGACTGGGACATATTCTGGACAGTTTGCTATGGAAGGTTTTTTAAACTTAAAATGGAAACGCTGGCAACGAGTGTTAATAACGCGTTCTATAGCTATTTTGCCCACCATTTTAACGACTGTTTTTAGAGGTAATTTATATATATATATATTTGTGAAGTACTTTTTTATGCATGCATTCGGAATCACCCGTAATTTTAAATTTCAATGTAGACTATGTAAAATTCACACCGGTTTCCTTTCAACAAGCTTTCATAGGTTAGACTCTTTCTGACAGATGTGCTTTATTCATCAGTCTAATTATGAAATCTTTAAAACTCTGCTTCTATTCGACTCCATTCACTCTTAACGGGACGTTATACAAACAAACTAACGATGTAGCAATGTGATCCTTCGTGTCTCTAATTGTAGACAACCTGTTTATGGCACACATAGAATCAAATATTTTCGTCAACGACGTTAAACCACTAATTTGGTTTAGATATGTAGATGATACATTTGTTGTTATAAAATAAACTAATCTAAGATGTTTTTCGAAACGGATCAATACACTTTCATCTCACATCAAATTCACGGACGAGAATGAAAGTGAACATGGTGAGCTACCATTTTTAGATTGCTTAGTGAAAAGAAATCTAAATGGAATTCTAAATCTATCCATCTACCGAAAACCTACATACTCTAATCGTTATATTGGCTTCAATTCAGCACATCCTCTCAGTACAAAGATCTCACTAGCCCTAAATCTTTTTAGAAGAGCTAACAAGATTATCACATCATAAGAGGATAAACAAAAAGAACAAAATAATGTAATTCGCATCTCACAGTTTAATAACTTCCCTATGTTTCCGACGTTTCATTGTGTGATAATAATTCGAATGAAGTACCCTGGATTAGTACTGCATTCTTACCGTACCGTCATAGCACAACAGAAGGACTCCAAAGAATCCTAAAACAACACAGAATTAAAGTATATTACAAACTAACGAACATACTTCGAAATACTTTAGTTCGCTTAAAAGAAAAAAAATCCATTCATGTCAACACAGAACTGCGTCTACAAATTAGGTTGTGTCGATTGTGATGCTTTCTATATTGGAGAGTCATCTCGCGAAATCCTGACTCGTGCCAAAGAACATATTTTATTTATTTATTTATTTATTTTAACACATAAATATTGGTACAAGAGAGCGCCAATATATATGCGCCACACAAAACAACGTAACTTCGAAGAGATAGAAAAAAAAAAAAACTAAGGAGCACAAAAGAAAAAGAGAACGATAACGAAGAGATTGGTGTAATTTAGTGTGGTCGTAACAGTGGAACGGAAAAGTACAATCAGAAGAAATCTTTCAGGTAAGGGAGACACAACCACTTTTTATGAAGAAAGTAAAAGAAGGTTACAGCAGGATCGCCACTGGCTTCTATTCTGAGCCATATCTGATAACGTCTCTAGCCACTGTGTAGCACCATCTCTCAGACCCCAACCAGGGAGTCGTGAAGGACCAACACAAGCCAGTCCTTTGCAGCTTTCTTTCATACCACGACACCATGTCATGCACTGACCACCTCTCCGCTTTTTCCAACCAGTCCCAGAGTCGGCAAATAATGCACGACGTGGAATTCTCTGGGACGACATTCGTAGAACATGTCCAAGCCACCGAAGTCGGTGTTTCAAGATGGTGACACCAATTGAATTATCATCTCTGTGCCCAAACACATGATGCCGAACCTCTGCATTACTGACATGGTGTTGCCACTGAATGTCAGCAATCCTTCGGAGACAGCGATGATCGAACACAGAGAGTCGTCTAACGTCCTCAACTCGGAGAGGCCAGGTTTCACAAGCATAGAGCAAAACTGCTCTCACCGACGCGTTGTAGATCCGACCTTTTACAGCCAGACTAACATCACGAAGGCGCCACAGATGGCCCAGATTGGCATAAGCCACTCTGGCTTTCACTATACGTGCATTGATCTCATCACTCACACCCCCACCAGCACTTATGCAACTACCCAGATACACGAACTTCTCGACTACTTCTATCTGCTCACCATCCAGGGTGAGTACAGGATTGGAATCCTGCCAGTCTTGTAGAAGTACTTTGCACTTCGAAGGTGCAAAACACATACCATACCTACGGACACTGATTGCCAACTGATTAAGTGCGGATTGCATGCCTTGGGCATTATCGCACAGTAAGACAATATCGTCCGCATACTCAAGGTCGAGAAGTCTTTCTCCAGGTAACAGATCCACACCACCATTACTTACATTCATCAGAGCTGTTTCCAGAATGTCATCGATGGCAAAGTTGAAGAGGAATGGTGAGATTGGGCAACCCTGCCTAACCCCACTACTCGAATGGAACAATGGAGAGAGGTGGTTGTATGCCCTCACTCTGCCTGAGGTGTTTGTATATAGGGCTTTTAGGATGTTAATAAACTTCTCAGGCACACCCTTCTTCAATAGACAATCCCAGAGAACAGTCCTGTCCAACGAATCGAAGGCAGCCCTGATGTCAAGAAACACTACGATTGTTGGCCTTTGATAAGTATGGCGATGTTCTAACATTTGGCGGAGGGTGAAGATATGATCAATACATCCTCGACCAGAACGAAACCCAGCCTGCTCCTCGCGAGTCAATCTTTCCCGAGTTTTGAACAACCTACGAAGTATGACGGAAGCCAATAGCTTGGACGCAATCGGAAGTAGACTTATCCCCCGATAGTTGTTACAGGAACGACGTGAACCCTTTTTAAAGATAGGGACAACTATCGACTCATTCCATGACGTTGGTACACACTCTAGTTCCCAAACCTTTGTAAACAACGTCGTCAATTCCTTAGTCAAAAAGTCACCACCATCTTTAAAAAGAGCCGGAGGTAAGTCATCTGGGCCAGGTGATTTGTAACGCTTCAAGAGTTGGAGTTCCTTGCGGACTTCCTCCTCGTTTGGTGGATCAGTCGTCACCGGCCATGGAGGGCAGGACAGTCTGACCGATGTTGCCGGAGCAGCAGGCCAGTTGAACTGCCCTTCGAAAAATTCTGCCCATCGTCCAAGACGTCGATGGATGTTAGTGATTGGCATCCCATCATCCTCGCAGATTGTTTCACTCACACCAGACTTCTTGCTGCCAGTGGCTCGGATGAGCTGGAAGAGCTTCCGGTAGTTACCAGATGCAGCTGCTGCTTCCAGCTCATTAGCACGCTCCGACCACCAGGCTTCTCGGTCCTTACGCAAGCTTTGCCCAATTTCCCTACGTAACATCCTTCGTTTATGGTCAAACTCACGGTCACCCGGAGTAGACCGACGGGCTTCAATGAGTTGTAAGGAACCAGAAGAAACCCAGTGCTTAAAAGCGGGACGTTTCGCAAACCCACAACTGACTGTTCCCGCCATTTTCATGGCGTCAAGCAATTGCAACCAATGCTCATCTATACTTTTCGGTGGAGTGGTAGCTAGCCTAGAAGCTAGCTCGGTTCGATACTTGTTTGCAACAGAAGTTGCAACCAGCTTGCTAACATCAATCCGTTGGTGGCGGTCACTTCGTTGTCCACTGAAAACTAAGGCAAGATTGGCGCAGACCAAGGCATGGTCAGAGTCCAGATAGGTACTCCAAAAGGAGCGGCAGTCTTTTACACAACCACGCCAGCGGAAGCTGATCGCGATGTGATCAATCTGAGTCCAGGCTTGGGATGCAGAGGGAGGACGCCAGGTGGCACATCGGCGATGACTGTGCCGAAAGTTAGTGCTAGCCAGAAACAGGTTGTGGTCTGTGCACAGTTGCAGTAGACGGTCCCCGTTATCTGACCTGCGACCAACGAGTCCCCATCGGCCACCTAAACGACTCTCTTCTGTGCCTAGACGCCCGACCTGAGCATTCAAGTCTCCGGCTAGTACTACAATATCTGTCGAACGCACTTTCTGGAGAAGAACAGATAACTGGTGGTAAAACTCATCCTTGATTGCATCCGGGCTGCAATCTGTCGGGGCATAGGCGGAGATGACGAAAAGACATCGTTTCTCACGCCGATTTCTTCTCACTTTGATGGAACTTTCTAATCTAACAGCACATAACCGACTGTTAATGGGGATCCAATCAACTAGTGCTGCCTCAGCTCTAGCGCTTAGTGCGACACCAACGCCAGCAAGACCAGACGAAGATGCCACAGGGTCCCCGGATAAGCGCACGTGAAACAAGCTTTTCGAAGCGACAGATGGAGATCGAATTTGTAGTACTTCGCCAGAGTCTTGAATACGGGTCTCGGATAGACAACAAACATCAATATTAAGACTTTCCAAAGACATAGCCAGCCCTATCTGTTGTCCGACCTGCACTAGCGTGCGAACGTTGAAGGCAGCCAGTTTGAATGGTGCACGTGGTTTCAGAAAAACTGTTTCAGTTCTCGTATTCGGTGGTAACATACAATTTTCAATCGGACAGTGACTCGAAAACGTTTAGATACAGTCGAATTTCCACCAAAGACGAGCCGCTGTATAAGTATAAAAGAGGGTGAATAATGTGGAAAATAATAATAATAATAATAATAATAATAATAATAGTGACAATAATGGTACTAATAATAATAATAATAATAATAATAATGACAATAATGGTAATAATAATAGTATTAATAATGACAATAATAGTAATAATTATTAGAATCGATTGATTATATATCGGAGCGAGAAAATTCGTTGCCATAGTCATAGGGTTCATCGTTTGTGTGTGGGCTGTGATACTGCCCGGGTGCCCAAACCGAAGCAGGTGGTTGTCTTAGGGGGCCACACCCCGAGCCTTTGACCAAATGGTCTAACCCACAAGGCAGTGGAGCATCGTAAGGAGATGCAATCCCATGGTAGCCGGTGACCAACGATTGGTTCATACGCCATTTGTTCCCGCAGGATACTGGAGCCCATGTGCACCATTGGTTTGTGATCCGGTTAAAGCGCCGGACGTTCGCTTTTCGTCCTCTCATTTTCGTAAACAACACCCCCGCCGCGAGAAGGCAATGAGTAGGACTTCCCTGGCAGAGGCTGTATACGCGCGGCCGTGTGAGAGTATTTCGAGAGGGAGAGCGGACTCTCCCCACTCTCGGCCGTACCAGGGCGTTCGGGGGCAAAGAACATATTAGGTACATAAAGAAACCTAAGAATCCCGTAGAACGGGATAGACTTCAAATTATATCGGCAATAGCAGTTCACGCCATTTTCAACCACCACCAATCGATTTCATAAACATCAAAATATTACAAAAAGGTTTTTCCAATTACAACAAAGGCGAGTAGCTGCAGCGTTTCATATATTGCTTAATCCTACTGCTCTCAATAGAAAAGAAGGCCTTACCATACATCCTACTTGGACTATCTATCTTAGTCACCTAGTCTGATATTATTTACAATTCACACTATTATCTTACTAGTTTCTTGTGCGACTAAAATATTTAAATCTGAGTAATCACTGAGTAGTGGAGAATGTCATATTTGTGTAATTCCTCAGTTCTTGGGGGATCATCCGTTCTCTCAAGATTATAGCTATATCTTGCTGACAGATGCCAAATCACACGAAACCTAGGTCCAAGGTTTTGCTGTTGACTATTTCCAGCTACCTGATGTTAAAGTACAATGTACACAGTGTCAAGTTGCTAAAACTTAAAGTCACATTACAATTTAATGTATTGTTAACGGTTGTTATTACTTACTAATTAACCAATATGGAATAAGTCACTCTTCTTTCACTGATTTCACATAAAAAATTAGTTGATGATATAATAGGAATTGAACATCTGCTGTGCACATTAGTAGCAGTTTTTTTTCAATTCTTGGGCTGGTGAAGGTAGGAGATCATAAATTCTGACAAATTATATCAATAGTTTCAAAAAGTGGTATATTGGTGAACAAGGATGTTACATCAAAAGAAACCATGAACGTATCGGCACCATTCGTATGATTTAGTCTATCGGCAAACTGAATGATAAAATAATTTATATTTTATGATGATTGTTTGATTCATCTATCTATGAGTAGTTTGTTACTTATACCATACATGTATGTATATATTATCTATGGAACAGGCATTGAAGATTTAACTGGAATGAATGATTTCTTAAATGTACTGATGAGTGTTCAACTGCCATTTGCTGTTATTCCATTGTTAACATTCACTAGTAGTAGATCAGTTATGGCTGAATTTAAAAATTCTATGTAAGTTACTTTACTTTTTTTTTTAACAAAAAGAACTTGAATCTTTGTTATCTTATATGTATTTTTCCATAGTGTATGTGTTGACAATGTTATTCAGAGGGACAATAAAAGCTTCACAGTTAAGCCAATTAGCTCTGAGAACATAATAACTCTAGCACGTTGTTCTTTGTTTAAGATGTATGACACTTACATACAATGAGTTATAGTTAAATAAATGTAGTCTGAAAGTGACGAAAATTCAGTGAAGAAAATTTTCGATTAAATCATATACTCAAGCTCTACCTTCGTATTTATAGTCGTTTAATAAATATACAATTATCTGGGAAAATAGATGAGGTTACATCATGAAGTGATGTGAGATTTTAAATATCAAAAGGAGGTTGCGTAATGATGGAAGGGTTAGAGAAGAATAAGAGGATGAAAATAATCTTCCGATCAGAAATATTATAGATTATTGTCCATTTGACAGATATGAAAAATATTGAGAGACGTTAAGGTTATAATAACAACTGAATAATCATGAAAAATTGGTAAAGGATTATAATAACTGTAAAAAAATTATGAGACGAAACAAGACCAAAACATACAGGAGAAGAGAATTAAGGCCATGGAAGGACGAGAGGTTGGATTTATCGTTTTAGTACGCGGCGTTTGGGATTGAATTCGTGGATCACTAACGTTTCAACACTGCATACGATTTTGGTTCGACCGCTCTTCGATCCGGTTCCTTTGATTGTATAGATTATTTTGAAGGAAGACTTTTTCGGAGCAACGTGTTCATAGATGATTAAGTACTCCTGTATCAAACTGGTGTCTGTTATGCATTCTCCTTTTAAAACCATGTATTGTATAATAGTCAATCTTACCATCTGGATGTTTAAAATGAACAACTGCTTGTAACTGGGTCCATATATTAAGCTAAGCGGTTGAAATTATACGCTTAAACATTTATACCACCATTTTGAGTTGGTAAATGATCATGAATATTTTATTGTAAATTTAAACTAACCAGATAGTAAAAATTTATATTTTCTTATGAAACCAAACGAAAGGCGACAGTTAACCTAACACAACTGATTCCGTCCTAGATAATTCAAACCTAAAAGCAAATAATTACTATAATATATTATGTTTGTTATGGAGATTTGGTTATCCCCGTTTTCCGACTGAGTAGATCAGCCTATGACGTTCACTGAAGTAAGCCCTGTGTTAGAATTTTGTTGATAACCTCACTATTGAGTTGTAGTTTCTGTTTGATGATAAGGTTTAAGTAAGTCTTCCTTGATTCCATATTTATCCCTTTTTGAAAAATACAATCACCATAAAAAGCTAGTATAAGATGTCAGGATATTTCTTAACTCTTCATTTCTGATAGTTTATAGATATTCTATCCAGTAAATACACGAAATGAGCTACCAAGGCGATTAGTTTTGATGAGGGCATGTTGATGAAAACACAAAATATATTTGGTCTCTTATGCTTTCCAGTTGCTTATTTCGAGCCGAATTATGGAACAAATATCTGTGAATACCATTCTAGTAGATTACACAGAGATGAGAAATTACGTTTAGAAAGAGTCTTAAAGTCGTTGACATCTAACCAAAAGTGGAAATCAAGTTGAAATCACAGAGCAAGTGATAGATAATAAAATGTGAAACGATAAGACAAATAAAGAATCTGACCTCTGAGGATTTTAAAGGCTGCTTCGAACATTGGGGACTGAGATATGAGAAATGTATTTGAACAGCTGGGGCAGTGTTTCGCAAGAGATAAGTTTGATTTTACATAAATTTTGTGAAATAAGGTCTCTACAATCTTAGTCCACTTATTTATTAGAACGACTACACATTTTTAAGAAGATAAAATTTATTTTTTGTACAATTATTGCCTTCCGATTTTTTTTGTTTAAAAAGAATACACGCCTATTTTCTGTTACTTTTAAAGCATAAACTAACCTTTTCGTATGTTTACAAAAAGGTAGGGATGAACAATGCATGCTACTACATATAACTATTTTACATTCTGGATAATTTGTAACTGAGTTTTATTATAATCTTTACTAAATGATTAAACTCATTTTTTCATTATTCTGTTATAATAATGATTTTGGTAATATATTGAATCAAATGAAATGACATTTTCATCTCCCCTCCCTCACTGGTCTATTTTTACCAAAACAAGCAAATTTTGTTAAAAGTTTAAAATGATTGCTTGTCACTGCCAACAATTAAAATGTACAGTTTCTTGTTTACTCCTGAATAGGAGGAAAACTTGCGTTAATAAATGTTAACCAGTATAACGTGGTACAGTGGATTCTTTGACATGCAGATATTGATTAGTACTGAATATCAGCTTTTCTATCATGTAGCTATCAACAGTTTGATTTGATGCATCTTTTTATACTTCAACAAATAGTGATCTAAAATTGTCTAGTCTTTGCCTTACTTTGTTGACTTACTCCGAGTTTATGGATGAATTAATCAGATTTAACGTAGATCCTCTTAAATGTTTACGGGAAATTTATTGATCTGTAGGGCTACAAAGCATTTTTGCACTGTAGCTAATGTCAGTTCGTAATGGAAACACTAACCGTAAACTTCTAATCTTAACCCTGAATACCTGACTCTATAAACAATATGGAAAACCTTAAAAATGTATTTGGATCCTTATACGAGATGTAGATGACGGATTATATATAATGTTAACATTTGTAGTTTCAAGTCATATTTCCTCACCGCGAACGTCGTCACCTATTGCAGTTATTATGTAGTTATCTGTTGTTTGTTAATATTTGTCATTAATTTTTCTTCATAAAAGCATGCTAATCAATGTTTTTAGTTTTTTTTTCACAATATGATCTATAATTGTCACAATCATGCATCTTTTTACTGTTCATTGAAGTTTTACTACATTTTCTTGTAAAATATAACCAAAAACCTTTTTCCATTTCATTGTCTATAATTGTTTCTCTTTCTTCTACTGCCTTCTTTATAGTCCGGTTTCAATTGTTGCTAATTTAATATCCATAGCAGTTGTGTCAATTAATCTATTCTTGGGTAGTGTTGTAATTAAAGCACGTCTACCGCATCATTGGGCAGTATATTTAGGCATGGGATTATTATTCGCATGTTATTTAGGGTTTGTATTTTACTTGGTAAGTTTTATCGTGTATTATTCTGTTTTAAAAATTCAATTCAACATAATGATTGATAAATAATAATAGTTGTATTCTTATGTACTTGATTTTTGTTTTTCGAAGTTTTTGCGGATAATGCTATTAGGAAACGCGGTTTTAATTTAGATGTAGTTTAGTTCTCTGAGCTGGATTTTTCGGTCGTGGAGCTTTCATTGTTCTTTTGAACAACATCATCAGCACAAACTTCTGGTAGAAGTCACGGATGATTTTTTCCTAAACGATGGTATATACTCCACAACTGAGTTATCTAACCCGTACAAGAACATTATCATTGAATAATGTAAACTACAGAATAACTGATAATGACAGGAAAAGAGGTTTCGAATTTTCTCTAGTACTAGATACTTTGACTAGCACATTCAGAATTGAACTATTTGCTTAAACTTTGACTTGAAATATAAAGGTTGGCATTCTTTTAAAACGTTCCTATTGTTGAAATTATTAATTGATTAACTACTACATTGTGTATTATCTAATAAATTCTAAGTGATATTTATATCTATTTCCGGTTTTAATATATATTTACTTTTGTTTTAGATTCTACAATATTTATTCTCAAGTGTAAATTACCTTATTTATTTTTGTTAATATATTTAGATTTGGTTCGGATTTATTCATGTATGGCGTTCAAGAAGGGTATGTTGATCATGTGTGCATTTGGATGGTATAATGTTGTCTGTTTTTTCAGGGATTATTTCTTTTTCGCTTGAATATCATTTGATGAACGTATTTAGATTTCGGTTATTCTATGGCTTTTCATCTCTGTCTTTGTTTGGATAAGAAGAAATAAAATTCCCTCTTTCAGTGTGCTTTCAATGTTAATGCGTTCATTGTTGTGGTATATATTGTTGGCACAAATTCTTCAACGAAAACTATTATGTGAAGCTTTTTCTCCTTGATTTTGTTAGTAGTCTGTTCTGCCAGTTTTAGTTGTGACTGAGTATTCTTAATAGAATAATTTTCACGCAGTATAATTGTTACATCTTAAGTGACAGTTATACGTTCCCCTAGCTTTGAATAACTGATAGTGTGAGATTATTTTATATGAGTTTATATATTTCCTGATTGTTGATATTGAGGAGTGCATCCGACCACTCTCCGTTGAAGTTTGTGCACCCTGAACTCTAAGTAGAAGTACGCTCTTCTAAAATTATCTTACGATTTCCGAATTATTCCATTCTGAGGACCTGGGATGTGTTTGCTTGTTTTACTGACACTTTTTCTATGTTTATGTGTTCTGACAGTTTTTAAATAACATAGAAAAATGCCTTTGCTTTTTAAACTGTGTACTGATATTGCCGAGAATGAGATTGAAAGCTTCATATTTAAAAGTAGCTAGTTCAGAGGAAAAAGATCAGTATTTAGTTATTTTTCATCACGGATTGACATCAGCTGGAAAACCATTGGAAATCAAGAAGTACTATACACTTACTCCATTCTATGATACGAATCTTCAGCATTGTTCATTCACGATTCTTCTAAGAATCAAGTGAAAGTGAAATGCTACTTAGTCGCTAAGATGGAATTATATGATCATTTAATGATATATATATATATATATATAGCACAACAAATCACTAATCCGATAGTCGATAGCTATTTTAATCTAGACTACACTGACTACCTCAGCTTCAAATCGTCTCTACTATAAACGACGAACTGTTTGATTCTCTTTCGTTTTCCCCCAAATAACTTTTGCTTTATGTTTATTTGTTTGTTTCATACTCTTGTTTTTTCGCCTTATCAGACTCCTACAACATTTGTTACATTGAGTATGGATAGATCTCTTTCAGTGATTGACGTTGATGCCACGGCTGTTCCTATTAATGGTGATGGCGGTAATCGATCGACCATTGAGAAAACTCTCCATAATACAATGGTTCTTTCTTAGAAATTATACGATACAAAAGGATTAAAAAAAATAATTTAACCAAATAACAGTACTTAGCAGGCAAAGAACCTTTCGCCAATTAAACCTTGTCTTTCTAATTCATCCATACTATTATTATTATTACTACTTCCACAGTATTTGTATTTAACATAATGATATTTTTCCAGATTGTTGTTATGCTACTATCAGAGTATATTTGGCCTTAAATTACATTTTATTTATTAATTTATGGAATAGTAAGCAATTGGGAAGTAATATGATTGTCGTTTTGTCAATTGATCTATTTATACACTGTTTTTAATCTTTTTGCTATGAGTCACATTTATTTTGAATTGTTTGATATACTGAACGTTTTTATAATATATATATTGAGATATGCGGTGCTTAATTTTTTGTTCCCTACTAATTTTGTTATGTTTATAGTTGCTTATACAGGTCTTGAATAACTATCGAAAGTTGAAGGAATGCTATTGTTACCCGGGTTTTCTGTTTATCGGGACTCGTAGACATGATGTATGTACATCCAGTTTCCAGGTGACTGATCCATGCCACCCTGGATATTAAGATCCGTTTCGTTCGTTAAAACTGAATTATTCAATGTGTGATTAATTCATTACAGAACTAAACTAAGTGAAATATGATCGGATTTATAGGATGCAAAAGGTGGTCTACTCTTCGTAAATTTAAAAGTGTTGGGTCATTTAGTTTATTGATTTTAATCCCCATCATATTAAAACACTAATATATGAACGAAGAATATTGTTTTCAATAGGTCCTTTGTAGGTTCTACAATTATATATGTCTAAATTAGTAATCCAAAAAGGTGACCAGATTTAAAGTGAAGTATGTGGTTTAAAGTTATAGCATGTGAATGTCGGATAGTAGAATAACATAAAGTTGTTAATGTTGAAGTGACCAATATTGAATTTTAAATGGAATTGTGAGATTAATGATGAGAATAAATGTGGGTGAGAGAAATATTGATGCAATTTCGGATCGGACCAAATGTTTAGTGTATATTGTGTATAAAGTTGTATGAATTCGATGAGGACTAATAAAGTGGGGTGAGTGGTGAGTATATGAATCATTTGTTTATGAGAGTAGTAGAAATGTTGAACCAATGATAATGAGAACGTTTGTGAATCGGTGTAAATATCGTGGTGATCGTCACGGGATGCACATATGGGAAGATTCAAACAACCAATGCATAGAAATCTATATTAAAATTATTATTATACAAAGATATGTGGATAGAAATAATCACGGCAGTTATATTCGACTAAGAAATGTTGTATGTACGTTAGTGTGATTAGGTCATATTGTAGTTAAGGTTACTACTGATTGATTGGATTTGACGTTGTCCATCGTAGGGGATGCGGTTGAACATGTTGTTATGAATAAGTAGTTTATAAGCGTTAATTAGTTTGCAGACATCTGTTAGGATATTTCAAGTTGTCATCATGGGGGTTGAATGAGTTCTCTGTGATGAACTATATACAGAACCCGTCTCACTAAATTACTGATTATATGAACTGAAAATGTTTACAAATTAATGCTTTAAATATTGGTGATAAGCATTACATTTAAAAGAATAACAAGCAAATAAATGTGTATCTAAAGTAAGCTTATGCTTTAATATTACCTTCATGGTTTATATATGTTAAAAGAACTAGGTTGTTCTTCCATAATAACGTATCTTGAGAAACATCTTTAATCCTCTGAAGTAGTCGGTGATGAAACTCCGTATCTTTGTTACTCTTATTATTTTTTTGTCCTTTAGACAGGTGTTTGGTGTAAGGGATTTTGTAGGTTTATTTAACCCAAGTTCTACCCAAATTTGAAATCAACATAATTGCAAACACTAACCGCTTTCATATTGAATGAAATTGATATGCAATCGTTAATACTACGCAGCATCGTTTTCACGTGATACCAGTTACACTTTTTCTTGGATTAAATTTATTTTTCTGGTTTATTTTATTTAAACACATAAACATTGGTACAGGAGGGCACCAAATAGATATGCGCCTTTATAGACCAATCCTTCCAAGCTAAGGTGGTCTTTGCTTATCAATAAATAGAGTTTATAAAAAACTCCATCACTAGTTTTATGACTAAAGAAAGCATAAATGAGAGTAGTAAATGCATTTTAATTCCTTACTTGGTACACATAACATCTATATGAAAAATATGGGTCTACCTACCCACTGTTAACAGTTGAAGCCGTCAATATCCATCGTAGTAAACCACCTGGATATCCAGTCGCGTGTGCCGGACCAAGGATGCGAAGTGCTAAGGAGTCTCATACTAGGATGAAAGCCGTCCATTGCTTTCAATTTTACACTCGTAGTCCAACACTGATCAGTTCATGATGTCAATAAAATAATTATGGAATTTCTTTGATAAGAGTCGAGTTGAAGTTGAACACATTGAAATATGGGAATGTTGACAATTAATGTGCAAATATATAGATTGAAAGTGTGAAGTAGATACAAGATTGTCATAACTTTTGATCTGAATAATCACTTATTTTCATCAGTTTCTCAAGAAAGTTTTCATCTGATTTTTTTATTATTGGAATAAGGAAAAGTTCACTTTAAATCAGATTAATGACAGAATAATTTAAATCGTTACTTTTAAACTGTTATTACGGTTACTTACGGAATTGTAAATTTTTAGAAATGTAAATAAATAAATCTCGTGTTGATGTGTGTTCTATTGTAATTACTTTTGTAATATTACAAGAACAGTTACAAACTTCCTACATTGCGTTTTTGTTGTTGGATCATGTACTGATGGTTTCAACATAATATCTACCAACCACTGACCGTTTGTTATCTCAATATCGACCAATTGAATTTTATGCTAGCCCATACGTTGTTACTTTTTTTCTATTACCATAGTTTTATTATGATTGGGACAATAACATTCGGTAAAAATTTCTTTCAAATACCATTAACGATTGGTCATGAGCCTATCTAGTTTGTTTGTATATTGAGGTTTGGTTTCTCTTTTAAATGATTCACTAAACCGAAATCTCTATTTTCAATATTTGAATCTGCATATATATGTCTTAATAGAAGTTCAGCAACTTGTTTCTGGCAATACGGTTTGCAAACACTGACGTAAATTAATGAAATGTAAAATATACTACTTAATTCACACAAGTAGAAATAAAGAAAGTAGTTATTTTTTACTAGGACTTTTGTCCATAGTTTACTGAAAAGATTCACGTTAGTTAGGCACTGGACATGTAAAAGCTATTAAAAATGAAATTTTTATAACAAATCTCAGAGAGTGGTAATAATTGGTTTAAAATGAAACTCAAACGACAACTGAGGCCTTGGCTTTTGTTTTGTAAATATCAAAAAGGTAGTTGTATTGATGCTTATAAAACGAAAAATATGTGCACAAAAAACGTCAACCTATCACGAATCTACTGTCCGTTCACTTCCTTTTATATTCTAGAGCGATGCTCTCCCATTTTTCAAAGTTTTCATTCAAATACGTTGATTGTGGCATATCCAATCTTGATTTTAAATCATATAACACTTCACGTACATTCGAGTCTTTATACATTTAATTTTGTCAAGCCATTCAACTAACTTGTTTAACAGACAGTGTCATTAGGCCAGTAACAATTTATCTCTATTATACTTCTATAATCATGTCGGCTTTTTCATGTGTTAAAGCTTACACATATTCGTCTTATTAGCTTAAATGCTTGTCTCTCAAATCGCACGATAACTCATTGTTTCACATAATTATGTTTATTAAATCCTACTTATTTGTTCGAATTTTCACTTCTGTTAGTATTTGCTTCTTATGTTTGATTTTGTGACTTGCACTGTGTAGTATTAATCTGCAGTCAACGTTTCGTATTGTCTTCTGAAATATATTTCTGGAGATTATCTTTGTTCACATAAATTCAAACCCAGTATAACACTGTTCCTACTCTATTGCTACAAGACATTCATAAGAACTTGTTAAAACTGATAGCGAAAACGAAAATTGGATCAACCTACTTTACGATTGAGAACATCCAATCTCTTAATGTAAACTTAGAGTCCAATAAATAGTGTCTACAAAATAACATTTAACAATATAATGGGTTTTGCGTACATTTCCTAATCAAGACCATCAGAAACAACGCTCTGAAGTATAAATCCAAACCTTCTATTTAATAATTTCCCATGTTATGCCATCAAGAACACTGATTTTTTTTCGGTTTTACTGTTTTTCTGGTTACACATCCAACTGACAGTAAGATCAACTACCATATATATTGTTAGGCATTCGTGTTTGACAGTCTAATACGTAAGTTCCAGTCATTAATCATTTGTATGTTCATATAATGATTGGCTTGGGTATGCCATTCATTTGATTTCTACAATGATCTAACGTTTGCCTTGGACCGAAATAATCAATTAGATGTTTCTAATCAATATAGCACTATGCAATAATTTTTTAAAGATTACAATGAATATTGAACTAATGCATGGATTTATGTTCGTGCTGCTTAGTATTACTTACCTACTGAGATTACATCATCTAATATGATTAGATTTGTATGTTATGAACGCCAGAAACTGTTTACATGTTAAGATGTTCATATCATATCTACTATAAAGGTATTTTGTCGATCAATCAATAAACAATTATTGAACATGTATTTGCTCATGTTTTATTGTTTAAAAAAACACTTCATCAACAGCTAACAATGTATTATATTGATTGTTTTCAGGTTTTTTGTCTTCAATAATATGACTGTTTTGTTTGCCGTTTAAACTTCTCTCTTGTTTTTACATTGAATTTTAAAAATATTGATTTAGTATAACATCCAAGTGAATGATGCTTTTTTATGATCTACTTCCTTTAAATCTATCTGTTTATTAACGATCCTGTCATAAAACTCTGAGAAAAGTGATTAGTTACAAAACATGATAAACAATTGTTTCCATCAGTTAGATGTGTTAAAAATTACTGTAATTTGTAGCTAATAGTACAAAACTATTAGTAGGAAGAACACTAGTAAAGATAAATTATTTGTCATATCTCAGTTGATAGGAAAATTTAATTTTCTGACGTTCCGTAACTCAGTGTAAGTCAATTCTTCAGAAGAATAAATAAATAAATAAAATTAACGGAAGTTTATGTAGTATAAAGAACAAAGTATAGGTCTCACTCCAAGATTACACATTGAACTCTGGCCTGAATAATTCTTTCAAGTTGTTTCCAAGCGCTGTTCATCCGCCTCATATCTGCTTCCAATCAACCACGCAATTTCTCCCTTGGTCTTACTCGTTTTTGTTCCACTTCACGATTCAAAGTCAGCACTTGACTAGTGATGCAGTTTGACAATTTCCTCAATGAGTGTTCTATCCACTTCCAACATCTTTCTCAATTTCCTCCCCAGCTCAATCCTAGATTGTTCTCGGCCACAGTAGACTGTCGCTGGTGATAGCCAGTCAAAGGACATTGAGTATCCTACATAGATAATTGTTTATAAATACCTGCACCATTTCGATTATGGTTGTAGTAGTTCTGGAAGATAGAGCAGCGTACAGTAGAACTGCCTTGACGTTCTTATTGAAGATTGTGACTTTGATAGTGGTTGAGAGAAAGTTGTTTTGAGTTGGATGTGTTGTTCAACTGTAGGGATGCTGTCCTTACTTTGCCAATCCTTATCTTCACGTTTTCATCAGATCCTCCACGTTCATCGATGATATTGTCCAGATGGGCAAATGAATGTTTACACCTATTGCAGAGCTTCTCCATCAAGTGTGATTGTATTGTTGTTCTCCATGTTGTGTTTGAGGATGTTTCTTCTGCCCTTGTTGCAGAGGCTGCTGCTGCTACTACACTACTTGTCTTGACCTGCATTCGTTTGTGTGTATGGGGTGGAAAGTGATAGGTGATTTGTGAAGTTCAAATTGTCTAGTTGCATGCCAGTCGTCCATTGTATTACGTGCTTTCCGTCAGATGTGGAGGTCTTCCTAATCCACTCGTCCACCAGGAGCAAGAGAAAGGCGAGAGAGAAAGAGTAAGTAGCATTGTCTGATACCAGTCTTCACTTGGAATGTATTCGTCAGCTTCTCTCTATACACAACTTTGCTGTATAGTCAGTTGTAATAATTCCGTATGATTGTAACAAGCTTGTCAGGTAAATCGCAATGTCGACGAAGATGCCATAATGTTCTGGTATCCACCATGTCAAATGCTTCAAGATATAACACTTAATTAATTAATATCAGAGGGTGTTTGTAGATATTATAGTAATTTTACTAGTGAGTTACAGTGTTTAACTACCTCACAACAGACCCTGTTGAACTCCATTGGTCACTGCTTCTCCCTTAAACTCTAAGAAATACCTCTTGAAGCCGGTCAGTTGTGATCATATATTGATTAATATCAGCTGTTTTTGTGGATCTTATAGTAATCTTAACGATTGAATTCATCAGTCATTTAAAGCTAGACCACCATGGAAAACCTGAAATTACTGGAAGGCCGTTTCGTCCCATCGTGGGACTCCTCAGCAATGCCCATCTACGATCCCTAGCTTCAGTTGACTCATGATCTCAACTATTGAAATTACTTAATTAATTATTGTTCAACGTTTACATACTTGATAAATTTCTTAGAGGTTTGAAAGAACTGACAAATTCAATTGATTAACTTAACAATCAACCACTTGATATTTAAGAATAACATAGTTATCTATATAGCTTGTAGATAAATCAGTATTTTTAGTTTGGGCTATTAGCCTTTGAATGAATTAAATTCGGCGCCTTTCATATATCCATTCGATAATTAATGTCGCATAAATTTTTAAACACAATTTTTAAGAAATTACAATTAAGTCCTTTTTAAGTACTTGATAAGAGTGTAAACAATAGCCAATAATAATAATAATAATAATAATAATAATAATAATAATAATAATAATAGTGATAATTATATTAATAGTAATAATAAAAGTAATAGTAATGATAATAATAACTTCAAGCCTGCTCATATGACCGTTTATTCTTATAAACAATCATTCAATAATTTGCAAGAGAATAATCTCACAAATATTGATTTAATTGATTAGTTTAAACATGAAAAAAAAGAAGTAATACATATATAAACGTGAAAACTTATAGATACTACTAACTACCATTCATGTTTTATTTTATTAGTTTACATATTCATGTGATAAACTGCTGAAACAAAAGGATACTCTCTCTCTCCCTCTCTATAATATATACCGTGTATATACATATAATAGTGAGATTTGCCTACCACATTTTAACTATTCTAAATCTACTGTAAATTGAACAATAAAGGTCTATGAATAGCAGTTATTTACGCACTGTATCTTGTTAATTTTACTGGTTTAGAAAGTTAACGCAAACTAGGTCAGAACTAGGTGACATGACAAACCAAGCTATTTGATGAACTTGCATATGTAAAAAAGAAAATTTACGATAAAGAAGAGTATGAAGAGTAAACTGTTCTTTTTTTTCGTTCAGAAACTGAAACCTAGGCTTAACTTCTATTTCTGATTGTTTGTACACTAGCAATCTATAAGAATTATATTATTAATTGGGTTTTCCAAGTTCAGTAATTTAAAATAAATAAGTGGTTTAATAAATATAATTATAGTAAAAACTGAAGTAAACGAGTTGAGGAATGAGAATTTTAAAACATCTATTTACTGAGAATGAAAAATAAACTGAAGACTTATTTGCTTATCCCGCAAAAATTTTCAGCCATATGCACTAATAATGACCTCCACCTGTAGCTCTCCTTGGGTAACTGCCGGTCCCTAGCCCACGCAAAGAAGGAGGGTTGGGCGAACGATAAGCGTCCCCAATCCGTGGAAAAAAACATTGCTAAAAACGTTTAACAGGAAAAAACTATTAAGAACATTTAAACTATGTCTTCCAAGTTCAAGCATCTTCATCCAGAAGAATTATGACAACTCATGGTGAAACCCAAGATTCTTCGAAAATCATCAGAACGATGCTCATTCTAACAACCACAGCTCCAACTGATATGGGTACATGGAACACTTGGACAGTGTGTGAGTCAGGGAGGACCAGTCGAAAAGCTACGGAAATGATGAGATACAACTTCATCGTGCTCGGAATCAGTAAAATCCATTGCAGCCAAACTAGACAGAATGGAAAAGATTAGATTGGAGAGAAATGCTTCAGTGCTCTGATCGCGAAGATGAAAATGCTCCAAACACTCACAAAGTTGTTCCGATGCTATCCAAAGAAGCACGTAAAGCAATTACAAGATGGTAATCTCATGAATTCACAATCATCAAAACGTCATTGAAAAGAGAGAAGGAGGATATTATAATGAATGTTATCCAATGTTGTGCACCCATCAGTGATAGAAATGGCAACTATGAATATCAGTTTCACGAGAGAGTGCAGTCGATCATGGTGAAGTGCTCAGGAAACGACTAACCATCCTCACGGTAGACTTAAACACCAACGTCAAAATGGATAACATTGGATATGAAAACATCACAAAGCAATGACAGCGGAAACAGCCGCATGTGAAGGAAATATGAAACAACTATATGACACTATGAAGAAACTGTTAAGAAAATATAGTAAACCAGAGAAATCGTTCAAGGAAAAAGAAGGCGAGACAATCACTGAGACTCAATGACAGAAGAAACGTTTTCAACAGAGTGTTGCTGAATCGGATGAAGTACTGAATAGACATCCATCTTTGAGACCAACAGATCGGATTCTGTAAGGATCGGTCGTGCACAGACCAAATCATTACACCACGGATCATCGTTGAACAATCATTTGAATGTAACTCGTCACTATACACCAATTCCCTTGACCATAAGAAAGCGTTTGACAGTGTGAATAAAAGAACTGCATGGAAACTTCTTCGAGACTATGGAGTGAGTATTTGGAAATATCATCAACATCACCTGGAATTCATACGACGAACTACACTGCAAAGTTGTGTATAGAGGTAAGCTGACAAATACATTCCAATTGAAGACTGGTATCAGACAATGCTACTTACTCTTTCCCTCTCGCCTTTCTCTTGCTCCTGGTGGACGAGTGGATTAGGAAGACCTCCACATCTGACGGAAAGCACGTAATACAATGGACGACTGGCATGCAACTAGACAATTTGAACTTCACAGATCACCTAGCACTTTCCATCCCATACACACAAACGAATGCAGGTCAAGACAAGTAGTGTAGTAGCAGCAGCAGCCTCTGCAACAAGGGCAGAAGAAACATCCTCAAACACAACATGGAGAACAACAATACAATCACACTTGATGGAGAAGCTCTGCAATAGGTGTAAACATTCATGTGCCCATCTGGACAGTATCATCGATGAACGTGGAGGATCTGATGAAAACGTGAAGATAAGGATTGGCAAAGTAAGGACAGCATCCCTACAGTTGAACATCACCTATGCAACTCAAAACATCTTTCGCTCAACCACTATCAAAGTCACAATCTTCAATAAGAACGTCAAGGCAGTTCTACTGTACGCTGCTCTATCTTCCAGAACTACTACAACCATAATCGAAATGGTACAGGTATTTATAAACAATTATCTATGTAGGATACTCAATGTCCGTTGACTGGCTATCACCAGCGACAGTCTGCTGTGGCCGAGAACAATCTAGGTTTGAGCTGAGGAGGAAATTGAGAAAGATGTTGGAGGTGGATAGAACACCCATTGAGGAAATTGTCAAACTGCATCACTAGTCAAGTGCTAACTTCGAATCGTGAAGTGGAACAGAAACGAGTAAGACCAAGGGAGAAATTGCGTTGGTGATTGGAAGCAGATATGAGGAGGATGAACAGCACTTGGAAACAACTTGAAAGCATTGTTCAGGACAGTGTTGGATGAAAAATGCTGGTGATTGTCCTATGATCCTCCTTATGGTTTAACAGGCGTGTATAGGGAAGTAAGTAAGTGAATAAATGATTCGGGAAGCAGATGATCTGTTTGCGTCTTTTTTTGGACTGAGAAATAATCATCTTTCACGGTATAGGGTTATGGAAATTGTTGCGTTTTAGCTGAGTTCATAAACTGATCGACTTCAGACTACCAATGAAAACCTGGACGCACTTTCTGACCTCCATGTCATATTGTGATACTCTTCTGCAGTGTGTATTCACGACCTCGCATGCAGGGTATAGACGTTTTGTCATAGTTTCCCCTCGCAACAGCAGTCAAATGAAGAGATTGCAAAGAACTAAGTGTCGATTGTTCTGGACTTATACATGTATATATTTGATTCAGCATAAATAAAATTTATAACATACTAGAAGCTGATTATAGTTTTTTGTTATTTATTTATAGATTATATAAATAATATAGTTCATAATCTCAGATAATTTTGGTTTATCTATCCCTCTTCATTAATTATAATTTGTTCACAAAAATAAGCAGAAGAAATTTTTACAATCCATCATAGTTCTATGAAATTTAGTAGTATGTGTAAAATAAAATGTAGAGATTGTGGTTTTTGATAAGTCAAAACTTCAAAGTATCATTCAGTGCCTTGCTATAAGTATTATTTATCATCATTGAGTACTGAGGATGACTATTTCTTGGTTTCTACAAATGAGATGATAGGAGTAATTTCAGTTGAAGTCATAATATTTGTGGTAAAATATAAACGAATTAAGAAGATAAACAAGTGTGAAAAGAAAAATACAAGAAATTTGAATCCAACTGTTTTGTGATCACCATCTATTCATAAAGGAGTTCTTATGTGGCCTTGTTTGTAGATATGTAAGTTTTATCGAATTCTTTCTCATCGTCTGGATCATGTAGATAAGTTTGTGAATTGTCACTTTCATTATCTTTAGATAGCCGATATGTGTTCATTACTCCAAATCCAAAATAAAGTATCAGACCTTGTATAAATATGAAACAATAATGAAATTCAGTATAACTTCAGGATACATTATTTAAAATTATGCAATCTAAATTATGTATAAGAATGATCGTCGATAATTGACTTTTGTTTACTGAAAATGACTTTTTATTTCACTGAAGAATTTTGAAAATTTAAGGCCTATAAAATTCAAACCAAACTTAAGAAGAAAAATGTGTCAGTTACGTTCTCAACTTAGATTTTCTACTTTTAACCAGTTTATTAACCTGCATTACATAAAAGTTTCATTACACTAATAAATGTTAATTATTGGATGGGTTTTGTGGATATCATAATCACTCAATTTCGTGGATTAGTTGAAGTTAGACATTAACATCGTTGGATACTGACCAGCTCAGTGGTCTAGTGATTAAGTGCTCGCGAGCAAAACCAGCAGGTCCTAGGTTCGAATCTCGCAGGGGGCGAGGTCGTGAATGCGCACTGCTGAGGAGTCCCACAATAGGACGAAACGGTCGTCCAGTGCTCCCAGATTTTCCATGGTGGTCTAGCTTCAACTGACTCATGATCTTAACCATTGAAATGTTAATTATTATTTTGTGAGTCGACTGATAGAAATCTAGAATATGCTGACAGAAGGGATGATCTGTGAAAAAAAATTAAACCGGAAAAAAAATTCGTTAGTTATGTTAAATGAAGATTACAACATGAATCGAATAAATGGGTATTTTACAGTGAACTCATAACAAAGATTAGTTTGTTTTTACCATAATAAAAATAATGTTTTGAAATGAAGCTCAGATAATACTAGTTGGTTACGTATGGGGATATCTTTACAATAATGGTCAAATTTTAGTGTTATATTAAAGTAATATTGATTAGCACCTAATGACTTATCGTTATCTACAGTAGATAGCTATATTCGCTTGGCATTTTTAAGAAATACTCGGTAATTTTGTTCGTTATTAGAGTGAATTTTTTTAAGATCGAAGAATTCTATTACTGAGTTTTAACTACATTCTAAGAGTTTACGGGTTTTCAAACACCCACTTATATTTATAAAACAAAACACAAAGTACTTACCAATTACTATCCAAATAGCAAATCTTATCCAGGTAACCCATGAAAGCTCACTGATCAAAAATACGTTTATAGTTAACGTTGCACATGGGATGAACGGAACATAGGGAAGCTGTAAGTAAAATATTAACTCTGATATAACAGATGGTTTAAAAACTTTTTCTCGGGTATACTACGATAATACGTTATACGATAACGAGACTAGTCATGTTATATCAGATCCAAGATTCACGACCCAGAATAGAGAACCAGATTAACACTAGGTAATCCTTTATTCAACACAGTTACAAGCAGTCACACTCAGTGAGTCCGGAGTAGAAATTAATGAGAGGATAGGAAATCACATATTTAATAGTCAGTAGGTTAAGTGCCTGTTCGTCCACGCTCACCGACTAGTTATATTTTACTTTCACTACGACACTATTGGATGCCATCACAGTGATTTACTGGTTAAGTCATCGTCCAGGGATTTGTATCTGATCCCCTGTAGTGAGGTCCAGGATGCCCACTGCTGAGTAGTCCCATACCACGATGAAACAGATGTCCAGTTCTCCCTAGTTTTAAATGGTGAGGTCAGTTCGTGACGTAAACTATAAAAATAATCGAAGCATTCAATAAAATATCTTCGATAATTTTGATTTTGATTATTTCTTTGTAAAAGTTCAGATCAGACTAGGTAGCGAAAGGTTAAAGTTATTAAATTTCAGCTGGTAAGATCGTTAATGATATAGTTTTATTTCAGATAATTCCACCTATTAAATAATTCTTTATCAACATATAATCTATGAATAAAATTGCCAGTTGATCTAACTTGACTACTGGAGGATTTGACGCTTATTGAACGTTTGTTAATTATGAAAACGTATCGTTAAATACCAGGAGATAAATTATTGAAACTACAAGTTTCAGTTGTCAAAAGTATTCTCGTGTAATTAGATCCACTGATCAAGGAGATAAATGGTTGAATACTCTTAAAACAATCATTAAAAGTTGTCCAAAAAACATTTAATTCACTGGATACGGTTAGATAATTGTGATTAAAATTATTCTAATCTCCATAGTTCAAAGGATAATTTTTGATGCTTGATTGCGTGTTTATTCAATAAATAGATTACCATTACTAGGCTACATAAAAATGAGTTTTACAGTTATCATTCAAGATATATGTTATCAAATTTCATCCAATTTTACATAGGAAGTACATAATTGCAATCATAATAAGTTATTCTATAATGAATATGTTTATAGTAATATTATATGTAACTACTGCATAAGTAAATAACTGGAATTATTAGCTGCACACTATCTGATAAGCGTTAGATTACCATTCAGTTCTCACTATCTTTGATAAGATCAAGTGTCCAAATGTAACAAAAATGAAAATTATGTGAGAAGTTGAAACTCTTATTTCCGCTACATATTAGAAATTGAATATATACATTTTAATTACTAATGGAAATAGACTAACTATATTTACATAAATTAACGTCATAAATCTCATTATTATGTATAAAATTTAAGTCCATTAACATCTACTAACCATATCTTTTGAATGTATATTTCTGAACATAACAATTTATGAAATCAGGCTCTTTATATGATTGACAAAGTTCCTTAATTTGAACTACAAGGTTTACTCAAAGTGAAAATGATGACTAATGTTTTCCTATCTTATTTGGTTTAAACAATTCAGCTTCGATGCTTTTATAAGATCACCTCGGATGATTAACGTAAATATCTTAATAAGTTGTAAAGATTCCCAACAGTTTTCAAATAGAAAATAATGATTAAGGTTTACAAGGGTATAAACTAAGTTTGGCATTTTGTTGGCAGTTTTCTTCAGTCCTCTAGAATAAAACACTTTTTCCACTTTTTTTGTTAAGATCAATTGATCAAAGATTTGAGTTGACTCATTCTAAAATTTGACACAAGATGTTATCAGTATGGAGTTGCGCATATTGTTGGGTTACTGAATGAGATAATGAGTCGATCAATGTTATTTTGCAATAAAGTGTTACTCACGCAAGTGATCAAACTGAGTTTCTTGTTTTGTGGACTTTGATCAAAGCTTCGAAGATAACATCACTTACCAAGTATACAGCCTGTAAATACTTTTAAATTTGTATGAAATCAAGTCATAAAACAAACTAAGTTATCATCCTTGCATAGTGAGTGTCCTTTTTCAACTTAGCAATTTACAATAATGTGCTGACGACATTATTAATTAAGATAAGGGGTTGAACGGTGATATTTTGATAACTACTGAGCTAAAAGGTCTATCAACTTAAATTGTCTACATCGAAGTTTAGGTCTCTTCTCTGTTACACTGAAGTTATGCCAATATCATATTTTAAAACGTGAAAAAACTTACTTGAAACAAACCTTTGTAAGGTGGTCCAAATTGTTTAAAAATGCTCATCGATACAATACAGGATATTAGTAATGCTAAAATGAACACTACACAAACAATCCTCCATATTGGCCACAATTCATGTTTCGCTCCTATTGTCAAACACATAATTAAAACACCATTTAATAAGATATAAGTAGCCATGATCATAACAACTGTATCACCAGGTGAACCGGAATTGAAAATCTTCAATATACAATTAGGTATACAACGAGCATAACGATATTTTACAAATCCTGGTTTATCAATACGTTTTTTGAAATGTTCCACTTGTTTAACAGGCTTTAAAAAAGTAATAATTCAACAAAAATCTGATGTTATCAAAACGAAATACTCTTTTAAGATAAATAAATTAATTCATTTGAAAAAGTCATTTATAATAAAAAAACTTGTATTATAGCATGTTAGATTTCATGAGAAAAGCAAATGATTACTAATAGTTGTTCATTTGGAATTAATAATACTATGGTGTATGCTACTTATGTTGACATCAGAAGTGGAAGGTCTGGCAGCAGGTCGGGAAGACTGAGTCGACGAGAACGGGAACGGAGAGTAATTGTTACGGCAATGAAGGAACGATATAGTTTGATACAATTGATGGAGGATTTATAAATGAAGTATTGAACGTATGATTTTCATATTTGACCAAAGAAACTTGGTTTTCCTTACATGTGTTCTCGTTCATTACAATAAGATTCAGGATATATATTTAATTCTGCATGACATTCATGAATTGTGATAAATACTAATTATTACAGTAAGTCAGTAGGCACTGGTTAGTGAGATTGGTAAGTATTTTACAAGAAAATCAACAATGACAATTTACAGAAACTACTGTTAGCCACAAGTAAAATAATATGATTGCAAATTATTCTGCAGTATTAAGTCATTTGCATAGCCAATTCATATATATTAATATAGATAGATCTATTTGTTTGGGTGATTCGACAGCAACGAGTACTAATGTGTACTAATGTTGACCATACAATATTTTCGGATAATCTACAAAATCCAAATATATTTGACATTTTTAGATAAATACAGCCAGTACTCCACTGGTAGAAAATTACTAACGGATATAGTGATGCATGAATCTCTGCCTGTACTTGGTTAACATGAGAATACAACTTATGATGTTGTTCTTTTGTCCTTGGAATAAACTGTCTGAATAAATGATTCCGAGGAACGTTGATCTTTAATTCCACCATTTATCAATCAAAAATAGGCAAATCAACCTAGAAAGCAGAATTCACATTTGTATCCTATACAACATATTTATAACTTGTTTGTACACTAGTAAGACATCAATTTTAATAGATTATTAACAAACAAACAAAATTAATTACCTTATCCTTTTCACTGCTGTCTGTTTCTGTTTGATCAGTTTCAGTCAATATTTGTGGACTATCAGATTGTTTTCTGTAACGTATACATATAATAGCTATTGCAGTAATGGAGTAAGCGATTAACGTCCCTAAGCTCATAAAATCAGCTAAACTATCCACACTGAAAATCAATGTTAGTAAGGCTGTTATAATTGTGACGAATGTTGTTGAAATGACAGGTGTCTAAAATGAAAAATATAAGATGAAAGTGTAATACTATGATAGTATTTTGTCAATATATTCTTAAGTTTACCTACACAGTCAGTTATATTTCTATTTAGCATTTTCTGAAAATGAGATTAACTTGTCAGTTAGGTGCACTTTTTTAATTTGAGCAAGTATTCCTGAAATTAGATCAAAAGTTTTGGTTGCACGAAATGTAAAATAACCCAAAATGATTACTTAAATATAATCATGAATACAATTGCAGATATTGACTTATTCTATTCTGATTCTTATTTAGGGTGAGCTATGGTCCATCGGAAATATCAGGAATCAGATAACTGAAAAAAAACCGAAATATAGACTCTAATAATAAGGCTAGAAATTATATTTACAACGCTATAATCACTTTCTACATATCAAATGTGATTTCAATCAATTGGTATTAATATTTCTTTTGCTTTTTGCAGAAGCTCTAATAGGAATGCTTAAACATCAAAATTAAGTGTTCACTAGTTGTAAATTTGGGTTTTCAACGCGCAATTCCATAGTGACGAAAAATCTTCCATGTTGTTCTCTTATTCACACTGTCAAACGCTTTCTTATGGTCAAGGGAATTGGTGTATAGTGACGAGTTACATTCAAATGATTGGTCAACGATGATCCGTGGTGTAACGATTTGGTCTGTGCACGACCGATCCTTACGGAATCCGAACTGTTGATTTTAGAGATGGATGTCTTATCATTCCTTCATCCGATTCAGCAACACTCTGTTGAAAACGTTTCTTCTGTCATTGAATCTTAGTGATTGCCCTGCCTTCTTAGTCTTTGACTGGTCTTTCTGGTTTACCAAAATATCCCGGCCAGTTTCTTCGTTGTGTCATATAGTTGTTTCAAATACCCTTCTCTTTCAGATTTTAACTCTGTCATTCATACGTGTTCCATGTATTTCTGCTTGTCAGTTCTGATGTTCTTCTTCACTTTCTTGTTTGTTTCTGTGTATTCAGGTTGTGACTTGAATTTCTCTGTTGTTGTTGTCCAGCTGTTGTTAATTACTATATTCATGTTCTTCCTCTCTTGAATACAAAACACGGTTTCCATTGAGATCCATTCCTTACCATGATGCTCCTTACAGCACAGCAATTCCAGACACATTAGAGTTAGTGTTTATTTGATACATTTCCACCTGTTCTCCATTGTAGTTTCCTCTTCTTCCAATAGACCCTGTAATTCTCGGAACCAGTTGTTGAGATCTATCTTGAATTGGTTGAGTTTGTCAGTATGTTGAATGTAAGGCTGCTATTTCCCTAGTTGTCCATTGCTTCTTTAGATTCAGTTGCACTCTGGCAGTCACTGGGTTAGTGGTGATATGAAGCTGTATCATTTCTCCTGGTTCTCACGTCTCCAATTGACCTATTGAATTTTCAAGTGATGCAAATATGATCGATCTGATTCTGTGTAGTGTGGTGCGGTGAGATCTATGTAACTTTGTGTATGGGTTTGTGTGAGAATATTTTGCCACCGGTAACTATTTTATTGAATGCACATAAATGTGCAGATATCTCACCATTCTCGTTCATTTCTCCTGATCATTCCATGTCGTCCCATGATATTTTCATATCCAATGTTATCCATTCTGACGTTGGTGTTTAAGTCTACTGTGAAGATGGTTAGTCGTTTCCTGAGCACTTCACCATGATCGACTGCACTCTCTCGTAAAACTGATCACTATCGTTATAATTTCTATCATTGATGAGTGCACAACATTGGATAGCATTCATTTTAATATCCTCCTCCTCTCTTTTCAATGACGCTTTGATGATTGTGAATTCGTGAGATTGCTTTCTTGTAATTGCTGTACGTGCTTGTTTGCATAGCATCAGAATAACTCTGTGAGTGTTTGGAGCATTTTCATCTTCGCGATCAGAGCACTGAAGCATTTCTCTCCAATCTAATCTTTTCCATTCTGTCTAGTTTGGCTGCAATGGATTTTACTGATTCCGAGCACGATGAAGTTGTATCTCCTCATTTCTGTAGCTTTTCGACTGGTCCTCCCTGACTCACACACTGTCCAAGTGTTCCATGTACCCACAGTAGTTGGAGCTGTGGTTGTTAGGAGGAGTATCATTCTGATGATTTTCGAAGAATCTTCAGTTTCACCATGAGGTGTCATAATTCTTTTGGATGAAGATGCTTGAACTCGGGAGACATAGTTTAAATGTTTTTAATTGTTTCTTTTTTTGATTAACGTTTTTATTAATTTTTTTCTACGGAAGTGGGATGCTAACGTCTTGCCCGACTCTCTCTGTCTATCGGATTTCGGACTCCCAATTTCCCTGAAGGAGATGGAGTTTTTCATTTTATGCGACCCTTATATGTTCTTGATTTAAGATTTTTATTTGAAAAAGTAGGCGTTATTATACATTTTTCTGTCTCCAAATCACTATAAATTAATTGTTAACTCGTTTCATTCTCAGTTTTAGTGTTAGTATTTTTGTTACTTAAATGATGCAATTTCCAATTTATCATGCGTTTAGATCCTGTATTTTGTTCACATAATCATCTGAATTTTAGATTCAACCTAATAAGAAATATATCGGTTGTCTTTGAGGCTTGGGGACCGAATTCCTACGGTGGTCAATAAGCGTCAGCCTATCAGGTCACCGAGTCTGAGCATTTATATTATTGGTTCAAGTATGAAAGAGTAAGGTCGTATTAAGCACCACTAAAAAATGATAAAAATCAAACTGCTCGTCCACCCTAGTTTTGAACACTTAGAAGGCAAGTACTATCTTGTGTTCTACCGGTTTTCAATGGTTTGCCGGCTTGTGAATTCCAGTGAAACAAATTATCGTCAAATGTATATATATATATATCGATAGTATAAATAATAAACTTACTTTGAAAGGTTGACAAAGATGAGAACAAATAGTCGGAATAAGACCATCTTGAGCCATAGCATAACTAATTCTTGGTGCAGCAACTAATGAAGTAATTAAACAGGCAATTAACCCAATTAATGATCCAACACCAACAAAATAAAACATTCCAGTTCGTACATTTTCTGGTCCACCATTTAGTGTATTACCTTTTAATGCACTTAAAAATGAACTCTCGGTACTAATAAGAAACCAAGGGTAATACAAAGTTAGTGCTAGTGAAGATATTGTGGTCAAAATTGCTACAGTTATAACGGCTACAACATTCGCTCTAGGTAGACTGTAACTAGGATTTTTAGCTTCTTCTGCACATGTTGATATTGCATCAAAACCAATGAATACATTAAAACAAATTGCTGTACCACCTATCAAACCTGGTATTCCAAATGGTAAAAAGTTTGGATTTGGCGATAATTTATCTACTGTAATATTGGGTGAAGTGATATATAAATATTCTGGTTTGCTGTATACAAACATATAGATTGATGTTACTGTTAATACACCAACATTTACAAAAATTGAAACTGCTGTCACTTTTGCACTGCCACGAACTCCACAACAAGATATAGCTGACAATATAATAATCAGCAATACACCGACAAAGTCATAATGTTCAGCTAATACACCACCTGGATGAGATAATCTGTAAAACAAAGTAAATAACCAAATAGCATTAGAGATAAGTTACCTTAATAAATATTTATAAATAGCTTAGCCAATTCGAAGGTACTTATAGCTCTAAATTCAGCTATAAGTGCCGATTGATAGTTTCCGTATTTGTTTGAACCCTTAGTAAGATATTCATAGGGTCAATCGAGAAATTGTTTAACGGTTAAAACACTTGAATTTTAATTAATTTGTTGTAGGCTTAAATTCTTTCTGGGCTAGGAAGGAATGACATTTGCTCTGTGGAGAAATGTAATATGCTACACAGAATGTTTGAAGGCCCTCTGAGATCATTGTTTCTATGTAAACTCTGAATTTTATGTACGTCATACTCGCAGTAGCTCAGACGTTATTTAATCTCGTATAAAAATAGAAAGTATATTGCATACACATCACATCTATTACATGAATCACCTTCTGATTTACATGTTTGATTTGAGGATTGTATCTGCTACAGTTGATTGAAGCAGATTTAAAAGTACAAACATGCAACTGTTAAAACGATCTTATGTAAGTTTAGGAAATACTCCCTGTAGATAAAAAACATGAACACAGTTGTTCATCAGTAAACTTTACATATATTTAAATAGATATATTATCTTTTGTTTCTAAAGTTACAACACACAAATACTAAAACGCTTCATATAAAATTGCTTCATTTTTACAGTTTATTTAACTAGATAACAATGTTGTACTGAAACAGTTACTGAATTTAAGTAAGAACCATACTAAACTATCTAATGAAATAAACAGAAAAGAAGACATTTTATTACGGCGATGAGACAAGGAAATAACCTTAGTCCCAAGAAAATAGTAAGATTATTTTAACAGGGTGCTGGAACTTCTATCAAAGAACATAACAGTTTAGGAACCTCAAGGTAAAGGTAATAGAACCAAGCATAATCGAAGGACAACCCACATATGTTTAGACTCGAGTGAAATCGAAGTCGATAATCACGCTAGAATTACATAGCAGAGTTTCATACTAGGATGAAACGGACATCCAGTGCTTCCAGATTTTCAATTGTGGTCTAAAATTGATTGGTTCACATTTTCAATTATTCCACTTACTGAAAAGGTATTTTTTATGAGATTATTTTAATAGATGTGCAGTGAAAGTATGTGTACTTACATCCTACGCAAGGAAGCTATTTGTTAGATGTATATTATATGTTCAGTAAAGTTTCAGCAATAAAATCTACCAAAAGATATATACAGTGTAGTTTTTGACTCCTGATAATCCTGCTGTGATGAGCAGTAATGTGAGACAACTGTTTAGTGCCCCATGATTTTTAAAAAAATAATTGTCTTACTAGAATTAGTCTGAGATGTATATTTTTCACAGAATTAATGTTATAATTATAATTAACAATTTAGGGAAATTTTCAAATAAATTAGATAAAGAGTATACCTACCTACCAACACTGTGTATTGTCCATTTACTTATATGATTGTCTGCAAGACTGTCAAGCATACTACTCCAACATCTTGCAACAAGTGATATACCTAGTATATACTCAAGTAGTATTGCCCACCCAGTTATAAAAGCAGGAAATTCACCCATGATAAAATATATGTATGAATATGAAGAACCAGCCTAAACGAGATGAACAAAATAAAAAGTAACAAAACGTTCTCCAAAAAAAACCCAGAATCAATCAAAAATCTGTTATGATTTCATAATCATGAAATCCATAATTATATAAAGAAAAACAAACAATAGTAATATTAGTTACTAAATAACCTGCCATTCACTATACGATTATATAGTAATGTACAGCTTACCTATTATTATGAAAATAATGATAATTGATGTAGAAACCCATATCATTGCTAAAGATTAGCTAACAACCTAAAATGTTTGCAGTATATAATGTATATATGAATATTCTATATTTGATTTAAGTCATTAAAAGTTCGTCGTAAAGACTAGAGTATAATAATGGGAGGGAAAAATTCATGTACCTTTTCATAATGCAGTATTGTTCTTAATTCGTTTCAACTAATTAAGAATTGATTTCCCAATTTTTCAAATAGATTCAATAATAATCAATTCGGGTAATAAGTGTTAACACTCAATAATGTTGAATTTCGATTCAACTTTTCCTATCACTTTTCGTATCACATTTTATGAACGTTTTCGATTTATTCTAATTGCTAGGTCACTATTTTTGATTTCATACAATGTTATTTCGAGTATAATTTCTGACAAAGGCAATAATTCATTAAAATATGAGTTTAAAGTTTGTGGTACTGAACAAATATTTGTTCTTCAGATGTATACATCCTGAAACTCCCATATAATTGAACACACAAAACTCATATCTCATGGTGGGTAAACTATCATTCTTTAGTTCAGTAAAAAAACTATTGGTTCATTTTCAAATGGATTGTAGTGACTGTGTAGTAGTGGCATTGGACCATGATCACACTAAACTTGGAGTTGTAACAGATAGAAAAGATACACTGCTATTTTAAAATACAATGATTATTTTGAAACCAAATTATCGTAGTTTTGATTATATTCTACTTAAGGACAATTTTTCATTAGACATTAATTCACTGACAGAAATGTTTCAGTTACTTGACTGTTTAAAAACTGACTAACTCAGTTGTGTTTACAGTTTTATAAATATAGTCTATGGAAGTATATTATAATATTTTTTTAGTAATTGTACTTTTAATAAATGAAATCGATATTAAGGAGTATTGATGGTTCATTGTATATTAGTTTTCTATGATTTGTTCACAGAGATAATTATTCATCACAATACATACCACTTTAATAACTATAGGTTCAACTGTCTATCGTTAAGAAAGTTGTGTAACTACATATAAGTAGTGATCGACTGAATTTATCATGTTCATTAGATTTCACTTGATAAATCATCATTAAAATCGCCAATGATAAAAGAACTGATATACTGTAAACGATGTTATATAGACTAGCCAATGTAATGCTTGTTATAGTACCTTATTTATATTTTGACCAGAAAAGCAGCCTTTTAGTTAAATGCAAATGTGAATCATGAAACTAATAATTAATTCATTATGATAAGCTATGATATCTGTTTAATTGTCAAATATAGCAGTCAATGATAAATTAGTACAATTATAAATTAAGTTTCGGCCAGCAAATTTCAGTAAAGTTTGAAGTGACAATTTTCTTACCTTTGGTATACGACATGCTAATTCAGAATAATTTAGAGAATTAAGTAACGCCACGCAACCAGCCAGTATATATGCCAAAAATACTGCAGGCCCAGTTCGTCTATTCATTACAGCACCTGTAAGTACGTATATACTCCCGCCAAGCATGGATCCTGAAACAAAAGTAATAGTTTCCGTTGTGTGTTAAAGTTATAAATTTGGACAAATCAGAATTTGTCATAAATCTCCCAAGTAAAATATTTAGTTTGGATCATGACAAAACTTGGTATTCGACTATACATAGACTATATATAGACTATATACCTCTAATTCACTAAGCAACAGCTGTTGTGGTGGAAACGTATGTTTCAAAAATACAAGTGTACAAATTTCAAGCATGCAACCTTTGATAACGTAACTATGAAGACATAGATTGATGATTTAGGCACTTGACTTACAATCAACAGGTCACAGGTTTGAATATTATTCTACCTATTTTAGTTTAGGCAGCCGGATAATATTACTAGCTCTAACATAGAAACTTGTGCTTAGTAAACGATTTATCCTAAACAAATTAGCATACTAACTCGTGCAATTGTACAGATTTTGATATATAACATCAGATAGACTTTCACGAAGCAAATTTAATTAGATCGCATTTTAGTTTGTGTACCTCAAGGAGACTGTTAGTGAATAAATTTAATTTTTTGGGGGGATGAATTTATGTATGTAATACTTGCTGACGTTAAATTTGGTGCTAATTTTATTGGAATACACGATCTACCAGTTCTACATTTCATGCCATCTTATGATGTAAGATTTCTTTCAATGAAAACACCTCTAGATTTAGACAAAATATTTACGGATTAAAGTTGTCGAGGAAATATTAAAGATTAAAGGAGGAGAAGAAGCAGTACATTATTACGGATATATGTACACAATTTTTGTGATTTAAATAGAAACAGAAAGATTTTTCATTACGAAATACTGTTATATGGAAGATACCTCCAAAATTAAAACTGACAGATTACTGTCAATTTATAGTCTCGAAATCAATAATGTTAAGTACTATTAACATCGTTCTTAATCGAACATAATGTTCCGATATAAGAGATTGGATGTCGAGAAACTAGACTGAAACTAAACAAACAACACTGTTTAAACTCATTGAATTCAATGTCCCATTGCCGTCAGTTTCATTTGATAAAAATCATTTCCATTAAAAGTAAGTGTATTTTGTCAATATCTATGAAAGCTAGCCTATGATAGAATTTGAAAGCATTTTACTAATTAGTATATCAGGGATTACTACCTGTTATGTGAAGATAATTAGCTTTAGTTGAGGATTTTGTAAGTAAACTTTTTGATTCAGCATACTGATTATTTGTCAGTCAGTTATTCATAGTTAGTTAATTGCTACAAGGTAGACACAAAGTTATATTGATATTTTATCAGAAATTTCTACTGTGCAATTTCCAATATCTAATCAATACTCTATAGTGTTATATAATCTAGCTTGAGATGGTGGAGAAGATTTGTAGGTCAGGTGGATGATTTTGATGGAGTTTTGTTCTCTGAGCTCAGAGAACAATTCTTCATCGTAATCTAGCTTAGTGGCTAGAAGAAATAATTAATTGTGTAGGTCTCAGCCACCATTGAAAGCTAAACAGTACAATCAAACACATTTCTGCTTACTGATATTCTACTGGTAAGCTTAATAATGACTTCGAATTATATATATGTATCATAGCATCAAACACTCCATCAGAATGTTGTATTTCATCTGTTATCACAATCAATAGTTATATAATTTTATGAAAATCACAAATTGATTCATCCAGTAAAACAAAGTAGCTTAAATAGAAAAAAAACGTAATTACAACTTGGAATAGAATTAACTAAACCAAAATATACAATCAATATTACAAAAGGGTTTGTTTTTTTATCTTACTCATTTATGAATAAGAATTTATTACATAAGGGTATACGTGATAATTAAATGTATTAATTTTGTAATTTTTTGTTGTTGATATATTATTAAAATCAATAAATGAATGAAGTTTATTAAACCAAATGAATATTAATCAACAACAACAAGAACTACAACAACAACAGCAACAACAACAATTCGATATGCGGGTTAATTGATAAATTAAAAAAAATAATAATATGAAATGAGCCTTTTTCAACAGTGACTAATATGACAACCAAGTATATTGTACGAGTATATTATACTCTATCTAGAATAAATTTTATTGTGTGAAATAAGACTAATAAAATGATTATTTGAGACAGTTTTTTTTAAATTATGGAAACATTTACTGATATTACTAACTAGTCTATGTTAGATATCTATTAAAAACTAGGAAGCACTGGTTAGTCATTTCATCCTAGTATGAGATTACTCGACAGTATATTTTAATGAACCGTTGGAGAACCTTCAATTTCTAGATCTTGGAACAAGCATCTAGTTCAATCCACAACATTGAGCAAGGATTTTCACAGGCTTGTAGAATGTCCCTTAAATATGGCAAGTAGAATATGTCAGTCAGTCAGTCAGTCAGTCAGTCAGTCAGTCAGTCAGTCAGTCAGTCAGTCAGTCAGTCAGTCAGTCAGTCAGTCAGTCAGTCAGTCAGTCAGTCAGTCAGTCAGTCAGTCAGTCAGTCAGTCAGTAACAACGTAGAACTTCGTACGTACGTACATCAGTTCGAGTTGCCACACCACCTTAACACAGAGATGCAGTTGTCGATTCAAATCCCGTAGTGGTAGAGGTAGCAAGAGTGTAAGCAGTGATCGGGAAGATTAGGGTTTGAAGATGTTATTTAAAGAGAATAATTCAGTGAAATAAATTTGGAAAGAGGAAAAAAGGGACATGAAGAATTCAGAAGATTAGAATTTGTAGAATGCAAAGAGTGGATACACCTGCTCCATTGCAAACGATTTTGAGCCATGTCATTCAAGGTCTCTAACCATCGGTTGCTATCATCTCGCGGTCCCCAACCAGGTAGTCTATACCTATCAACATGACTCAGACCACTTGTCAGTGACTTCATGGACTTGTGCCATGTTTTGGTCTGGCCGCCCCTAGCTTTCTTCCAATCTACTCTTATACCACTGAACATCGCACGTCGAGGCAGTCGGTCGTTGGGCATACGTAAAACGTGTCCCAGCCATCTCAACTGATCAAGTTTCACTACTTCATCGATTGATTTGCCATCCATACCTAGTACTCGTTTCCTAACAACTGCATTACTTACTCGATGGTCTCAGGATATACGAGCAATGTTTCAAAGACACCTATGATCAAATACTAGTAACCTACGAATATACTCTACTCTTACCGGTCATGTTTCGCTTCCATAAAGTAGGACGGGACGAACTGCTGCACAGTAAACACGTCCTTTAGTTGATGGACGGATATCTCGCCTACGCCATAAATGACGCAAGTTGGCAAAAGCTAGTCGAGCCTTCTGTATCCGTGCTGAGATTTCGTCACACACCAGACCACAAGGGCTGATGAGACTTCCAAGATAAGTGAAGCGGTCGACACACTCAACTACTTCACTCCCTATCACTAGTTCGGGTGTCGATGTAACCCAATCCTGAAGCAACATTTTGCATTTCGAGGGAGATAATCGCATCCCGAACATGCTTGCATTGTTGCTTAGAGTGGTGTTATTGAAATGAAAGTTATATCGAAATCTTACGACAGCTAAAAGTTGTCCTAACTTATTTTAATCACTAGATATTGGATTAAGTTGTAGAATTTGTGTGGTCGCTGAAAATACAATGCTCTTGGAAACCTGAAAAAACATAAGTCCATCTCACTAGCAACTTAAACTAAGCTGGCTAACATGCTATTTTCAACCTCAATGAAGTTTTATTTATTTTCAGAAGGGGTTTGTGGAGATTTTAGAAATTTCACAGATTAAAATCATGAGTCAATTGAAGCTAGACCACCATGGAAAACCTGGAAGCACTGGACGGCCGTTTCGTCCCGGTATGCGACTCCTCAGAAGTGCGCATCCACGATCCCGCGCCCCGCGAGATTCGAACCCACGGCTAATCATGGTGATCTAGCTTCAATTGGCTCATGATTTCAATCTGTGAAATTTCTAAAATCTCCACAAACCCCTTCTGATAATAATCTTCTGCTCACTAGTAACTGACTTCAAGAGATACTCCTGGAGTTCTAGTGAGAAGCCGTTACCAGTGGAGTTCAACCAGGTCTGTTGTGAGATATCAGCTCACTGAAGACAATTTTGTACGGTAGCGCAACTTCGTGGATTGGTTGAAGTTAGACATTAACACCATTGGATGCCGGCTCAGTGGTTTTATTTATTTATTTATTTTTATCACGCATCTTAAGTTTTCTTTTAGGTAATATGTATATTCCAATGATGACATACATAAATGTTTACTTGTGAATAGTATTACACTTGAAATCTAAAAAAGACGTTACTGGAAACATTTCAAAAAGACATGTATGAGTTAATTTAAAAAAGAAAAACAAATACTAACTATTTCACAAAAATAAAGATTGTCATGTGTAAACTTGTCGACATTTATTGATTGAATTAGAAGGTTAATTCTTTTATCATTAGTTTAAATGAAATGCTTCTAAGGATATTAAAGTAGGACAGTTAAGCGAAGAATATCTCCTTCTGAATGATATTATTTATCAAAACTGGTACAATCATATTTGAAGTCATTTTTTGCATTGTCTATAGTAAGATAGAAAATCATCGAATCTTTAATAAAAGTATTACAAGTTGCGAGATTATAATTTATGGACAAACTAATCAGATTTAAAATAGTAGGTCTTGGGTTTTTGTACGAAATTCATTCACTCATTTAGCTTAATACTATTTTGTCATTATAGCTTATGTCAGCTGGTGATGAAAATATTAAATCTTATTGCTAACCCCAACGTTCAACGGTTAATCCTATTCCAAAATCCTCTTACTAATCTATAATCTTTAATTAACCATAGTAAATAGGTGGACGTTTCAAAGTCATTTTAGAGATGCCCAAAGGTCATCCATAAATTATAGTTTCACCGTTATAAGTTAATATAAAACGTTTTCAAGTTATCTATCAGTCAAAAGTTTAATAAGAATGAAAATAAAATATAGAGCAGAGATGGGAAAAGTTGTCATCCATTTAATGAATA